GTTATTTTTAATTATTATAATAATACTTAAATAACTTATGGTATAAATATAAGTTACTTTTAATAAATTAAATATATTAATAAGTATTAAAATTATAAGGTTCTTGGCCTTAAGGATTTATAAATAATATAATAAAATATAATATCTTTAAAAAAAATAAAAATATTAAAATTAATATTAAGGTTTAGATTTCTAGCCTCGCGGAGGCTAAATATTCTTAATATATATTAAGTTAGTACTTAAAGCTAACTTAGTTATCCGCGAGCAAAGCTATCCGCGGATATCTCTAAGTCTTATAAAAGGGCTATATACAGTATGATAGGCCTTACAGGGTGGTTCTACATGGGCGTTTAAGTATTTTAAGCTATTTAAACTAACTAATTATTTTATAGTATATTAGCTAGTGGGTCCTATTCCTAAAAGTTTTTTTTATTAAATATAATATTAAGGGTTTGGGTTTATGCACTAATAAAAAGGTTTTTATATTAAAGCACGCTAGGGTTAGGTTTAATTATTATATAAGTGCTATTTAATATATTTATAAAAGGCTTATACTAGCTAATAAGCTTATGGTTAAAACTTATTAAATCAATTAGTTTAATTTTTTTATAAAATACCTATAAATTTTGTAATTATTATATTATTTTTTAAGGGCTTGTTAATAATATTTTATAAAAAAATATTTAGGTTTTACTAAGCTTTTAATATTAATAAAAATTCCTAGTTAAACTTTTTATATTACTTTGCTAAAACTATTATAGCAAATATATAAGTAATAGGAAAACACCTGGCTTAAATATTTATTATAATATAATATAAATTATTTAACCTAAATCTTGCTTTGCTAGCTAGTAATTTAAATTATTTTTTAAGTTACTTATACTAGTTTTTTTCATTATTAAATATAGTAAGTCCCCTGCGTTAAACCTAATTTAGCTTTAAATTATATTAATAAGCTATTTTTAGGCAAGTTTTTAAGTTTTAATATATTTTTAAAATATTTTTAGTTTTTAACACACTGCGAATCCAAATTATAAATATATAAATATTATAAAAATATGGCTTATTATCTTATTTTACCTTTATACTAAAACCCTAGTTAAGCAGCATATCTAGGTAAAAAATTTAATATTTACTACTTTTTAATAAAAAGATTTATTATTTTTAGCTTCCTGCTTATTATTAGGGGCGTTTTTATTAATATTATTAATATTATTAGTATTTATAACCACTTAAGTTATTAAGGTAGCTAATATTATTAATTACTACTAAAAAAACTAGTAAAACTAGATTTTTTTATATTATTACTAGCTACTTTCCCGCTGCTTTATTTCCTGCTATTTTATTATATTTAGTATCTGGAAGATTTAATGTAAATAAAAAATTTAAAACTAAAAAATACATGTTTTTATTTTTAGTAAATATATTTTTATTTTTATTTTTTTATAGCCCTAAAAGAATTATAAAAGATTTAAAAAGTTAGTTAATAATAAAAATAGTTTTTTTAATAGTTTTTTAAAGCCTGGTATTTAAAGAATGTCCAGGAATAAAAAGGTAGTATTTATATTTATAACTAGTACTACTATTAGTTTTAATTTTAGGCTTAGAATAAAAAAAGTAAATACTATAAATATAAGGTAAAAAKGCATTAAAAGTTTTAACTTATTATATTTAAAGGCTAAAGGTACACCGTTCTCTTCTTTAAAAAATGTAGTAAAATTTAAATAAAAGTTAATTACTATTATAAATTATAGTTTTTTATAAGCTGCTATTAAACCTTAAGATTAGTAAATTTAATTATTTAAATTTTTTTATAATTATATACTCTAACCAATTCTTGCTAATAATAATTAGTTTTTTATTTAAATAAAATAAAAAAAATAAATTTTATTTAAGTTAAATACTTTAGCAAGATCTTATTAGTATACCCGTGCTATAAATAATAATAAAAGTTATATATATTTATAATAATTTTATATAAATTATTAAAAAAGCTTATAATAGCATAAGCAGAAAAAAAGTAAAAGTTTTAATAGTTTAAAAAATATAAGTAGTAAAATTAAAGGTATGATTATAAGGTAAAGTTAAATAATTAAAAGGTAAAGTTTAATAATTTAATTTAGGTTGCTTTTGCTTAAATTTAGCAGCTGGAAAAAACTTTTAAAAGTTTATAATATTATAAATTATATTATTTAGTTATTAAGCCACCCGGTCGCCCGGTTAGTTAGTTAAATTTAAAAAAAAGTAAGCAAGTTTATTAAAAAAAATAGAAAATATAAACTTAGGGAATTATTTTTATATAAAAAGTTTTAAAAAGTTAAAAAGCAGGATAAAAAAATAATAAAGCTTTAATATTATAGTAAAGGCTTATTATAATAAAGGCTTGCTATGGTAAAGGTACTATTTAAATAACTAAGATATAAGTCAGCATCCATGGCGTGGGATTAATTAGGTCAACCACAACATAAGGCCTATTATACTATACATAACCCTTTTATAAAAATGAAAAATATTTATAGATAGCTTTTTATAAATAACTAAGTTAGCTTAGGTGCTAACTTAGTATACACTAAAAATATTTATTTTTTATAAGGCTAGAGTTTTAATCCTTAGCGTTAATCTTAATTTTTCTACTCTTTTTAAAATTACTATTAACAAATCTTTTTTAGGTATATTACACCTTATCATATTATTTGCAAATTCCTAAGGCCAAGGACCTTATAGTTATTAAATATTTTTAATAATAATAGTAATATTTTAGTTATTATAAAAAATAAAGATAGCAGGAATATAGGCTTTTTACTTATTTTGAATTATTAATATTATTAAATAGTACTTTAGTTTATTTATTTTATAAGTTAAATTTATTAAAAAAAATAAAATCTTGCTTTTTTAGCGTGTTTAATTCCTATTACTTAGTAAATATAATAATACTATAATTTATGTTAGTTAAAAAGCGCGCCTAGTAATATTTTTATTTTTATTTTTAAAAAAATTATAAGCTTTTTTATTTATTTTATAAAGCTTTTTTTAACGCCTGTTTTAAAAGAATTAAAAAAAATAGTAATTACCCTTTTTAGGTGTTATAAATATTATAAAGGTTTATATTTATATTTTTAGTAATTTTCAAATTAATAAAATTATTAGTTTAAAAATTATTAAGGTTTTTTAAAATAGCGCTATAGTTTATTATAAAATATATTTTAATAGCTTTTTTTATTATTACTTATAAAGCTAAATTAAGCTTGTAAATAGCCTTGAGCTTATAATTATAACTTTTTTTTAAAAAAATTAAGTAATTAAAATATTACCGCCGTGTTTATAGGTAATATATATATAATAAAAATAATTAATAGGTTTTTAACTTTATTATTTATATAAGTAATTTTTAAATTTAATTACTAGCTTTTGCGCCCTTTTACTAGCTAGGTAATATTTATAATATATAATAGTTTTATTTATTAAAGTACTAGTACATATTTTATTAAAAAAATAAATATTATCAATTTAAGGCTAAACCTTATTAAATTTAGCTTTTATAAGTTTAAACCCGGCGTGATTAATAAAAAATAATTATAATAAGTGGTAAGGTCTTTAAACGGCCAAATAATTAAAAAAATTAATATTCTAATAAATAAAATTATTAAAAAAAGTTTTAAATAACTTTACTTTTAATAATAGTAAATACCCCTTTTTTATATACTGAATTTTAGTAGGCTTAAGTTTATATAAAAGTTATTATATAAAGTTTAGCTTTGCTAAAAGCAAGTATTAAAGTTAAAAATTTTATATATTACTTTTTTAAATTATACTTTTAACTTTGCAAGCTTGTAATACTATAAAATTATAATAAAAACTAAAATAAAGTATAAATATTAAAAGCGCAAGGTTAGGTTACTTTATATAAGTTTTTTTAATATTTAAATTTATAAAGTTTTAAAGTTATTTATTATTTTAGTAAATAGTTAATATTTAATAATAAATATATATTTAAATATAGTAATAGTTAACTTTGAATTTTCCTAAATTAATATAAATACTTTTTTTTTAATTAACCACGTGATTTACCCCCCTTTTATAATTTATTAATTTTTATTATTTTATTTTATAAAACTTAATATATTATATAGTATATTAATTTATATATAATTCATTATTTAATATAATATACCTATATAACCTTTATATTTTTTTAAATTATTTTTTTATTACTGTGCGGCGCGCGCAGTAAATATAGTTTAAAAAGGTATTTATTTTATAATATATAAAATATATTATATAAAAACAACTAAATTAATTACTTACAAATAATGGGCTATTTGCGTGGGGGGGGGTGTCGGCAGTATACGAATATCCAAGCCAACTGCTGTACGGAGTCCTACGGAGGTACTATAATCTATTATTCTGTGGGATCTCGCGAAGTTCTAGAGGTGCGAGGTGTCTCCACTTGTCTGCCCCTCATGGCTCGGAATCAACTTTACTACTAGTGTAGTTTCTACGGGCGTTTGATTGCCTGGAGGCTGGTAGTGGTAAATAGTCATTCCCTTAGCAGGGATATCCCAGTTAAGTTGTCTTCCTAATCCATCGAATTTCATGATCTTCTTACTACAGCAGTAATCTGATATTCTGTAGTCCACTCATAGTTTTAACCCGGGTAGTCTTGGCCTCTACCGAGTACAGTAGGCGCCTTGGTACGTGGCAAACGTCACTTGAAAGTTGAGAGGCTAGTTCTTGGCGCGCTTTGCGACGCTGACTCCTCCACGTTACCAAACCCAGGCTTACTTGATCATAAACTATCTCCTTCGCGTCGCGCGCAATCTACCGCGCTACATATCAATTTATTCTGTATCGCACACTAGTTGTCTAAAGCTTTCACACAGACTCTTTCCTGGCGATCGCGTGGCTACACCGTATCCCGTTTAGATTCCAATTTACGAATCTACGCATCATTTGACCAAGGGCTTCAGACCACTAGTTCCTCGGAGACGACATTCAGGGTCATGGAGCAAACCCAGCAGACTTCTGGACAGCAGCAGGGGAGGCAGCAGCCCGTGTACGACACGAGACAAGGTGGACACTACGGTAATTATCCCTTTTCATGGCGCTTTGCGTATACATAAATCAATTGAGCAACCGTGGCATAAAACTAATGTAGTTCCTAGGAGCCAGTGCCGCGGTATGGCTTCCCTAGACGAACGTGATTCGGGTCGTCGAGCTGACCTTGTACCATCTATAGCTTGCTGCACAAGGATTTGCTCCGGTTGCTGAGCTCTACACTGGCACATGGGCAAATGTGGGTATATCCATCCCTTTCTGTCGTCCTCGCTAATTGCACTATTATCTCCAGGTCAACCAAGGTTTGCAAGGGACGGCGCGTGATATCTTGACGACATATTGGCAGCACGTTATCAACCACCTTGAATCCGATAACCATGATTACAAAATCCACCAACTACCGCTGGCCCGGATCAAGAAAGTCATGAAGGCTGATCCAGAAGTCAAAATGATCTCTGCAGAGGCCCCAATCTTGTTTGCCAAGGGCTGTGATGTTTTCATCACCGAATTGACTATGAGGGCATGGATCCATGCTGAAGACAACAAGCGAAGAACATTACAGAGATCAGATATTGCAGCAGCGCTGTCCAAGTCTGACATGTTTGATTTTCTCATCGATATCGTTCCCCGCGAGGAAGCTACGTCGCATGCGAAGCGCTCGAGTCAGGCTGCAGGTGCTCCAGCAGGAGCTGCAGGGCCTACAGCTGCAGGCCAGTTGCCGCCAACTCAACACGGTGTTCAGCATCATCCACATCATATGGCACCGCCAGATTATGGTTCTTTGGGACAGCACCCTCTCCAAGACCAGGAATACAGGCAGCAGACGATGTATGGGGGGGCGGTGCAATCGGACCCGACAGCAGCATATGCCCAACCTCAAACTCAAATGTTTGAGGGCATGTATACTGCTTATCCTCACCTGCCCCCACAACAGGTACGGTTTCCAGGTTAATCACAGTCCCATGATCTGCATGCTCGTTGTGACTCTTCCCTTCTTGGATATATCGCTAACCGTATATCTTCCATTCACAGTGATTAAACTGACAATATCATCGATTGTCTGCCAGAATCAGGCGGTGCATTATCACTCCTGCGGAACCATTTGACCGTAGTGGCACAGGGCAGACGACAATACCTATGCTCTAGAAATTTGAGACTACGTTGAGAAATACCCACTTTGATTGATCTTATGCAGCTGGCTTCGCGTTACTTGTACGGGGATGGATACTGTGTCTTATTAAGGAGATCTATGGTTTTTATGAACTATAGTTTGATTCGCACAATTCTGAACATGTTAAATGCCCAGATCTCCAAATTGTAGAGATGACGTATTCGTTGTGGACTAGGACTTCTTCCCGAACCTTGATGATAGCGTTGAGAATTTATCCATCTTCACCGGACTTTGAACCGTGCGTGTAAGTCTGCAATAGTTAACGTGTGTTCGGACAGGATTGCTTACGCTAGCCACTTACTTCTCCAACAGCACGGGGCCATTGATCGCATCTACACGCCCATACTTTTTGTTTCGCATGGAGATGTCGTAAAATTCATCCGCGTTATCCGCTTGCATCAGTTGAACCGTCTGCTGCAGCTCATCCAGATTCTCTCGAAGGATGGGGTTGTTGAGACTATCAACGAATTGGTATAAATATTCAACATCTTTGGCAAGAGCCATGACCCCGTTTGGGTTAATGCGCTTCACTTCTGACGAGAGAGGGAGTGCCTAGGTGTTCGGTTAGCTGGCGCCATGGAAACATAGCCCATCGACGCGACGACGTACGAGAATCATGGTCGATGCGTGACTGAGCGCATCGAAGTAGATGAGTTCTTTAATTTCCTTGGGAAGTCCCAGGAGAGTAGAATTCATGATGTTGGAGAGGAAACGTGTAAGGGTTTGCATGTAGTTGCTCGGCTCTGTAGGAGCGGCGATAGCCATCCAGTCGTATTCTGCTGTCTCGATTAGATCATCAATCTTTGAATTGACGACCTCGAAGATGCGTTTCTCGGCCGCCTTTTTGTTGTCTCGAAATTTGCCTGTGGCTCTCAAGGCTATTGGATCGCTGGAGGAACTCTGTGACCTGGCTGCAGCGAGCAAGAGCTCCAGCTCATGGCATGCATGCTCAAAATGCTCCAAGTTGATAAGAATTTGCACAATTTGTCCCAGATAGTGGGAATTCAGGCGCTCAATGAGAGTGTCACAGACTTTGCTGGAAAGCAGTTCGTCCAGTGCCTGATACAGTTAGTAAGTTCACTGTCTCGCCTCAGCTTGCAGGGCGCTCTTACATCCTTCAAAGTCTCATCGATTATACCGGGGTTAGAGAATTCATCATTGGCGAAGAAGTAGAACTGATTGAGAAAATTTCGGATGTCAATGCAGCATAATGGATACATTTGCGAGAAGGGCAAGACGCAGGGAAACCTAATAGCATGCATCAGTACGCCATAAAGATGTAATATACTGCGCAAGAAATGGGAGACAACATACGCTTGTTCTTGCGGCTCACTGGGAGTGTACCAGCTTACATTGAGTACCTTATCGAATTCCTCGGGCGTCTGGATCGGCATGGGCATGTAATCATCCGTGGATACAATCTTTGTAACATCAGCAAGATGTTTGAAACATCAAGTTCCGTCACTTACCTCCTGAAAATCATCGCTAAACCGTCTTTTGAGCAATTCGGCGTATTTTCTGAACAAGGTCAGGAGTAAGTTATCAAAGGCTCCCACCGTAAAGTCCCAGGTCTGTAGTTCAGAACTTTAGTGAAACTCACTCAGATCATTACCAGCTAGGGCACATACATTCATTGTTTGCATGAACAAGGCAATGAGGTTCTTGATCTTAAGCAGACTCTCGGCATTGTCTACCTCGTGGAGGGCCGCTGATATTAGACCCACGGCAGTCTGGCACATTGAATCCCATAGCTCATCTACCTAGTGGGTCTATTAGCACCAGGAAGCAGACCGTGTCACACAGGAGAACTCACATCAACTGAATATCTCATGTCTGGAACTTTCTTCATGGTAGCGCGCTCAACGATTGCGAAGCCAGCCATTTCTTCCAGAAGATTATGTAGACTTGCTCCGTCATCGTCCACTAGAGTGATGGAGGCTGGTATAAGAAGCTCCTTCTGTCGACGACGGGTATTTGCATATTCGACCCTGAACTTCTCCATCTGGCCTAGAGACTGATGAATGTGTAAACACTCAAATAGCGGAGTGAAATCGACTTGAAGCTCTTCATTTTGCAAAAGGTCATATTCTTCGTGCTCGTCGCAGACCAGTTCAATAGCGGAATTCAGCTTGAAATGCTCCAAGTATGGCATTTTCGTAGCGCGCTCCTTTTGTCTTGTTTTCCGCAAATCCGTGTGATACAGGGCTATTTCCCCAAGATATTGCGACATTTCTCGGATCCTGTAAAGCCAAGTGTTCAGGTCAGACATTACCGCCTCCGCTATGGCCCTTTGAGTTGCTGGTACGGAGCGCTGAATCATATCCGCAATCTGAAATTGAGTTACCCCTTTAAGATGAACATTTTGTAGCTCTTCGAGGGCACGAAGTGCCGCGTAATGATTCTTTTTCGCTAGGAGATCATGGACCTGATTTGCAAGGCGGAGAACTTCAAGACAGTCTTGAATCGCATGTGATGTCTCGTCGATGTTCTGACGGTGCCTTCGCGATTCTACCAAGGCCTTCTTTTGTTCGGCCAGCTTCTCCGTGCTTGCCTGGATGGATTGATTGAGGTCCAGTATCTCCGCTGTCAAACTAACAGTACCTTCCCTAATATGAAGCAGCTGATTGATTGAAGAGACAAATTCTTGGTGGTTTGCATTGCAGATGGTCTCAATTTCCGCCTCCTTGTCGCTAGCAAACTTGGAGAGAGAGCGCAGTAGCTCGGACGTTTTGTTGCCGACGCTATACTCTTTGATGGAAGGAATCAATTGATCTAGATGATCGGTGTCTGAAGGTGATATAATCAGCTGCAGATCAAGCACGTTAGCTAGCTTGACTTTGGAGCATATATGGTATGGGCTCACTAACCTGATTTAACACATATGTAGACTCACTTCGCGACGGAACCATGGATGGCATGTTGTGGTGAGCTGCGGGTAGCCGCGCGATTATGAGGATAGCCCAAAGACTGCTCTGGCGAATTCTAAGTAGATACAAGGGCAACCCTTCAGCAATAAAAACAAGAAGGATGTGGTGAACAGCGCGAGTTGGAGAAGCTAACTTGATACTAACCCGCGAAGCTCACCCCACACCGATAGGTACCGTAACGATCCTCTTATCTGTGGGGCCTACCCTTGCAAGTTGCTGGAAATTCTAATAATACTATCATCCCATCTCATGCTCCGGTGTGTCGTCTATGGCATGTGCTTTGCACATTGACGCCATACTGTCCCTGTCATATGCCATTAAATATCTCAGATACTTATGCCACCTGTTCCAACACCAACAAGAAGAGTAACGTTGCTTTCGCTAGGATAGTATCGGTAGGTACTGGACTCCAGCGAGCCACGAACAAACAAATGTTTCCCGAGCAGGGAATCGTCGTGATACGTGCTGAAATCAAGGGAATTTGGTGCCTTGTGGTCTAACTATGCTTAGGTAGTCTTCGTTCCAAAATGAGATGATCTCACTGGATTTGGAAATGTCAATATCAACTCCAAGCAGCAGCCGTCTATTACGGCCCGTTGCTGTACGAACCACCGACAAGAACCAAGCTGCTGTATGAAGAACCTGAATTGAAGCTTTTCATGTGTATATTCTGCTGAATTCATGCTGAATATGTGTCGACCTAGGGCACCTAGTTCCTACCTGGGACTGCACACCAGACCAGATATGAAGATGCAGTGCTCCTGGTAGGACTTTCTCTGATAAACCTAACCAACTGGTAAGAAAGCAAGCAAAGTGGCTCAAGTAATGGTGCATGACTTTCTTCTGAGGTAGCCAGAAGAACTATGCCATGACTGGCTGATATAGCATGTTTGAGCCAGTGCTCATTTCTCTCCACATTGCATTACATTCTGGTTTGAACTATATTCACTTAGTCTCTCTTCTTGCTTTCTTGCTCATTCTACCATCACTGTGTGGAGTAGCCAACCAGCAACCCTGTGTTGAATGGATCCCAGCATGCTCTACCACAAACACCTCCTTTAATCTTTAATTCAGAAGCTCAATTACTCACGCAGGCAAACTACTTCTGAGCTTTATTGTCTGGCCCCTCTAACACAGTTGCACAGTGCCTCTGTGGAAGAACACATTTCAAGCCTTTTGGAGAGTCGCTGGCCCTGACCCTCAATATGAGAGGGACTGACTCTTCTCGTGGGCTGAGCAGCCCAAGCTCTACAGACGGGGTTGCTTCTCCCAATGGATCACCGGATACGAAACTCACTGCCTTCTCCCCAGAAGACGTGCGCATCAAAGCACTTTCTGAATCGAGTACATGCGGTCCATTGGATGACTGGACGGGATTTAAGCAGTTCTTCTCAAAGTAAGTAAATGGACACTGAGATACTAGACAGTCGTTGACGGCTTGTAGCGCTTCTTCGGACCCTTTTCTTGTCTCTACAAATGTGTCCACTCGGCCACAACTCTCTCCAACCGCAGCGAGCTTTACTCCCATTGGACTGGGGGATTTGATGAGTTTGAACCGCGCTCACTATGTGAACAAGGAGCCACCCCCTAGCAGCATCGGTCTTCTGGCAGCCAGCTCCAATGTCGACTCCAGTGCAACAGTAGCTCCTTCTACGAGCCGCCTAGAGCGGCCCCTACCAGCATATGGTGCAATTGGGAGCGATAGAGTCCAAAAGGATCGCACTTCTCCCGAGCCTGGCCATGGAGACAATGAACAGGACAAACACACTCGGGCCTTACTTATCGAGAATGTTCCGACTAGTCTAACTTATATGTCTCTGGCTGGGTTTTTCAATGTGAGTGTTTTTTCTTTCTTTTTCTTTCCGCAGATGGAATAATGATATGCAGCGGCGTGAATTCACCTCTCTCAAAGGTCCCATTCTTTCCGAGTTGAGCTCTAAAGGCAAAGTATTTGCCTCCTTTACCGATTGCCGCGAAGCGAAAAAGGCAGTTGAAAAAGTCCGCCTTCTTCGTCCAGAATGGAGAGTCGTTTCGCTTACTCCCAAGGAGTACGTGCAACATCTGGACCCGGCCCTGCTTCCTCAAACTTCCGATTATGAAGGACAGCTGATTGCAACTGTCTACTACGACAGCCGAAATCCGGGCTTAAATCAACATACGGTGGCTCGATCATTGGAAACACTCGCTATGACGTTTGGGGATATCCAGAGCTTCACTCCTTTACTCTCTGGTCAAGAGAATATTGCCGAATTTCACATCGAGTACTTCAATACCCGAGACGCTGAAAATGTCATGACGACCCTCAATGGGACTTCTGTGGATGTGAGTGACGGTCATTCAACCTACAGCTGACGTACTAATAATAGTTCTTCGGAAGGATTGCGTTGTTGAGGTTTCATTCTTCAAGCCAGATGTAGAGAGTGAAGCCTACCCTTCTCCCCAGAGCCCATGCTCTGTAAAGAAAAGCGTACCCTGTATGGATACCTCTTATCATAAAGATGCGCCGTGGGTCTCACCTCGGCACGACCGTGCTCCTTACATGGAACTTAGCCCTACCGGCCGTTCCACAATCCCATCCGGTGAGCATGCTGGATTAATGGATTGGATGACGAGGGCGGGGGAAAGAATTCTACCCTCTCCACGCCGCGAGATCACCCGCTATCCCGATTTACGCTTAACGAACCAAAATGCTGTCGATGTTGAGCGGATTCGCCTTGGCTTGGATGTCCGTACCACCGTATGTGCCTAGATCTCCATTTCAAGTTAGGTTTGCTCAACAGTCGATGACAGATAATGCTCCGAAACATTCCCAACAAAATTGATCAGGTAAGTGTCTGAATAAAACAAAGGTCGCTTGAAATGCTGTCTGACCTATCAAGACCATGCTCAAAGCCATCGTTGACGAGACAAGCCACGGGAAATATGACTTCATGTATCTGCGTATTGGTGAGTATATTTGTCACTTGAGCTCCTTCCATTGTTGACTGGTTTGATATAGATTTCGCCAATAATTGCAAGTATGTTGGGATGCCATGGTGTATGTGTCTAGTCTTACTGACTCCCTTGTCCTAGCGTCGGTTATGCTTTCATCAACTTCGAGGATGTGGGTTTTGATGATCCTTACCCTCAGTACAGAGCTAACAATCTACAAGCCAATCGATATCATTGATGTCAGTCTCCTGAGCTTCTAAATCTCGCAGAGTATAATCTTACAAAGCTTAAGTTTGTCAAAGCGCGAGCAGGGCGCACATGGTATGTTTTAAGGGTTAGGGTATAAATAGGCAGCGACATTAATACCATGCACAGGAACTGCTTCAACAGCGACAAGGTCGCAGAAGTGTCATACGCAAGTCCGTGATCTTTTAGCCCTGCCTATGCTTCCTTGTTCTGAACTTGAGCAGCCATCCAGGGTAAGGACTGCTTGGTTCAAAAGTTCCGCAATAGTTCGGTGATGCTCGAACATCCATCATTTCGCCCAAAGGTATGATGTGCTTCTTATTGGAAGACGTGTTGACTTATCCATGATGGCAGATTTTTCACACTGGCACTGGATCACTTGCCGGAAAGGAGGATCGTTTCCCTGGACCCGATAACCCTTCGAAGATGCGCCGCAGTATCGAGAACGCGGAGCACGTCGGTCAGTGTCTGGTAGCTTTCAATGATTACTGCTTATCGAACTGACCACGCCAGGCCTCTTTGCACCACGAGTTGGGCAGCAGTATCGAGATGAGCAGCGCCGCCGCCGCTCTCAATTTGATCGAGGAACGACTGCGGCCGAACGAGAGATAGTTTACGTTCGGACTCTCGCCCCTAGACGCCCCTTTAGTGCTGTGGGAAACGGCCTGAAAAGCGCTCCTTGCACTTACCCCGGGATGAAAATGTGGTATGATTCGCCGATCTCCGAGCATGGTCCTAAAACCTCCTGATTTCCCTGTTCATGACAAAGGGCCCCGTTCGCAGATTCAAGGGGCGTCGGTATGTTAGTGTACAAGAGTGTACTCCGTGGTACAATATTTTCTCCATCTGCTGCATCTGTTCGTGTTCTTTAACCGCTTTTCCATATTTGTTTTCTTGTTCCGAGTGCATTACGGGCTTGGAGAGGGGCTACCAACTGTTTTGATTCATGAGAGAAAGCCATTCTACGCCCAGATTGGCTTGGTTGTGGTGTCTCGGTCTGAGTCGGAATGTTGGGTTCATCTCCGTTGGGAAGTCAAATGTGAGGTTTACAGAGTACATAATGATGGACGCTAACGATGCGGATAGTACGAAGAAAATGAGGAAACATTCGGTGGCTTGTTCTGCAGCTAGCTCACTAGAATAGTCTGAATTGAAAAGTGCTATTTTGATTCAATGTTAATAGAATATCATGAAGATAGGAAGACGACGAGTCTGAGTTGAGTACCTACCAGTGGACGAATCAATGGTAATTCCGAAGTTAGCCCAACCCGGAGATCGAAGTCTAGAGTCTTCAGACGTGCTATGGATGATGGTCAGATGGAAGCTGCTTGTCACTTCGCTAAGCCCGACCGCCCTAAGGGGCGGTTGGTCAGCCCCAGCCATATAAAAACACCACCTTAATAAAAATATTAAATTTGTATAGGATTCCCATATAAATTTAATTTTTAATTTTTTAATAATAACTTAATAACCACGCATCTAGGGACTTTAAAATAAAATTTTTTATATTATAATATAAAATACTCTATAAAAATATAAAATAAAATATATATATTTTTTATCTAGTTTTTTAAATAGTATATTCCTGCACCTATATTTTTACATTTTCTTTATTAATATGTTAAATTTTAATATTTTTAAACTTTTAAAAAGTCTATATAATAAAGAAAATTATTCTTTACAAAATACTTTTCTTTTTAGATTTATATATAGTCTAGTTGTGAAGTTATTATTAAAAAACTAAAAATTAGATTTATATGGGAATCCCATACAAATTTAATATTTTTATTAAGGTGGTGTTTTTATATGGCTGGGGCTGACCAACCGCCACCAGGCGGTCGGGCTCAGCGAAGTGACGAGTATAACTTATGGAACGGAGTCCAGAGTTGGACCTAAAGAGTACGGTGGTGAGGGGAATAATAATGGGGCAAGCCTGGGTTTCTTATTTTTTAGTGCATTTCATGATCTCGGAGTTCGAACCGAGCCGACCATGTCATGCTTACCGGTATCCCGCTCCACAGTCTTTCTTATCTACACAGAACATCCTTGGACCACCCCAGCTAGGCTTCTACTACTACCTATCTTAGCTGCGTGCATGGTAGATTTCTGGCCCGTTTTCCTGAGCTAGGTGACAAGAAGCACTGATGGATAAAGATGAGCTCTTCCGTATATACTCCATGCTTCATTTGATATCCCACCACAATAGAAACCAACATGGAAAAGCAAAATGGTGGAAATGGCTCTCTATCTTGAAGCGAGCTGTTCGGAATCTCGCTCTGTCATTAAGCCCAGAAGACCAAGAAATTTCTCGTTCCTCCGGCGAAACTTATAAACGTTATTTGGCAGATCGGATTTTGCCAAGATGTTACTTGTGAGTTCTTTTGGTGCTACCCTACCCGTCTTTCTTAGACGCTTACTGATATCAAATCGCAGGGCCTTTTCGGTAGTTGTAGCAGATGTTCAGTTCTCTACGCTCGGCACTGTGCTCCTCGCTACTCTTGCGCAGCTTTCGAAGTCAACGGGAGCTGATAAGGAACTCAAATTGCAATTCCCGGTAGAAAACAACCGTGAATCCGTACCCACGTTCTACAGAAATCTTCCGAAGATGATAGAGGACATTGGGGAAGCCTTGCCACGGACACTGGGGGATCTAGAAGCTGTCCAAGGCTTTGAAATGAAGCAGACTCTTCAACGGCCGATTTTGGGAGAGATACCCCCAACCAAGACTAGCGAATTCGGTGACTCCAAGATTTTGGTCACGGCGAAATCAAGGAAGAAGAAGAAACAGAAGAAGAATGCGATAGATGACCTTTTTGACGGGCTTTGTGATACCTAAAATGAAATTTGTCCGGTAACATCTCGTTGAAAGTTACTACTGACGAGACCCAAGAAAAACGCTTTCCAACCCATATTCAACGATCATATACATAATACTATATCTCACCCAGGCATGCTCCGCGTAACTGCTAGAGGATGGCGAGAAGTCACAGATAAACCCCACCTAGCACGTTCACCGCAAAGTGATGAATAGTTGCCCAGGACATTGTGTATAGGTACTTGGGCGAAAATACTGTCCAAATGAAAAGATGGGTCCTCAAAGCCGTACACGCGGCCATAACAGAAATCAGCATAGCGGCCACTTGGAAAGTCAGAAGCGCTATGTGAGTCCGGATTTCGTCCCGGGTTCGCTCTGCCTTCAGAAGTTTGGCGGCAGATATCCACCATATCGGACCAGCCCAATTGCTCACATATGTCAAAATGCCGACTAGAATGACGTTGTAATCACCAATCCCATTATATGCATTGGAGAGGTCAATGGATGATATAGCATTGGAGCCACCAAACGCAAAGAAGGTGGTATACTGCATGAGCAAGGACGTCACAGCGAGCTCAACAGATGTTAGGTTCATCGTTGCCAGAACCTTGAGTTGCAACCTGAGAATCAGGAAGATCGGGATATTGGTTACCCTTGACTGGGTGAGGAAAAAAAGAGTCAAAGCGTCGAGATATACTGTGCTTGGAGATGCTAGTTTGGTCAGCATGTATGCGCACCTGGAATGCAGCGCTTACTTCGTCTATGAGGGGAGTGGCTGCTTTTTGCGATGAATCTGGATGCTAGAAGTAGCAAGACAATGCCGCCCATTGCAACACGCGCATATAGGACAAGCGGTATTCCATTAAGTAAGGCTGCGACGCTTCGGACCGCGGTTTCATCGAGAAGTTCAGGCGACTCCGACGCCGCGAAAACCAACTTGAACGTGAAACATGTGGCCGTTACCGCGAGACAGAGCAGAGGCCAAATGAATGATGGAGTAAGGTCGTTTATCAGGTTCAGACAAACATCAGCATATGTCAATCCCACCAAGAACCAAAGGCTGCCCTGATGGCTTGGAAAGTATATCCGGGCAAGATCGGGTTCAGCAGTAAATTTTTGACCAGTCTGATTCCAACGTCTCAAAATCCGGTGAGAGATTGCTAAGATAAAAACGCCCATCGTGTGGGAGAGATATGCCGCAGAATGGGTTGATTGGTTGGCAGCCTGAGGGGGAGCTTTTTGTTGAGATTCAAACGACCTGACGTGCAGGTAGAAGACCCATCCCGTAGATATCCAATACCAAAATTGTTGTTCTTCTTCGACATAACTACTAGCAAACATCATGGCACCGTACAGCAGCATGCATGCCACCAGGAACAGCCCCGAATGCCGATGACCTGAGAGCGCTTTATACGTGTCAGGGAAAGAGAACAAGACCGCAAGGCCCGTAATGCAAGTACCTAGTAAGAGGTGCATAACATCATAATTGCTAGCAGCGCCGCTCATCACTTCCTGGGAGACTTCAAGGAAATGTAATAGTGCCGTTTCAATCTCGGCCTGGACATGAATGCTATGTGCTGTAGCTGCATCATCCTGACGAAGCAATCTCTGTGCTCGGGACCAAGCGCATTGGACTTCATCCAGACCACTCTGCGAGCCCGCATAGCAATTAGAGGGCACTGTGCTATCATCAAAGCTGTGGGCTGAATGAGTCTCTTTAAGAATTCTCAGGAACTGTTTAGCGTTCTGGTTGAGCAACTGTATTCTCTGGGAGCCTATACCACAAGGGGCGGTGTCAGTAGATAACGAAATAGTAATGGATGTCTCTTACCAAGATGCCACATATCTAGAAGCTCAGGGATGAACACGCCGAGGCTATTCAATGGGATGGGCAGCCCAAGAAGGCCCGCTAGAGTCGGGGTAATATCGGTCTGATCCACAGTACGATAGTACTGCAGCTCATCTATTGCATCGACAGGGCTATCTCTACCGGCCCCCAAGCTCTGCAACTTCGGCGATATGAAGAGGAGGGCAGGTGAGGTCTCACCTGCTGAAGAACCACCATGGTTCCCAGCGTCATTCATCCCATGGTCACCGCAAAGGACGAAGAGGGTTGACTGTAGATGGGGCTTCTGCTCTATTGCTCCATATACCTGCGTGACAATCGAGTCCATTTCATTCTGTTTGGGTATCATGAATGAACTGTGCAAGAATTAGAATGAAGTCAGTGAAAGGACTGGCAGATTTCACCTCTGTGGCCCAGCTTTGTGTCCAATATGATCTAAGCCCAAGTAATGCATTATCAGGCAGGACCAATCATGCTGAGCAAGCTCATTAGGAATATGACGAGTCACATTGGTGTCTACTTCGGTGAAGTCCTGGGGGAAGAAGGTCAGTTTTCTTGGAAGTACAGACTGAGTAAATAGAAGAGTGCGACTGACTGATACAAAGAAACTTGTCGTCCCATCTGCCCTGCTGAACATTCCGGGAAACAGCTTTAGCCAGGTGTCGTCCCCATACATTACTAGTCGGTCCCCTTTCGCTTTGATTTGGGCCAGCCACGTGTCTTGATATGCAAGAGTTGATGATGTGTCTGACTCTGCTATATTAAGGATAACATCAAGAAATGAAGGCACTGATCCTGTGGTTATAGCCTTCAATCGTGGCATGGTGACAGTTGGGGAGCCTGCATAAGCAGTAAAAGGGATCGCAGCACCAGATCGTATAAGACTAGCAGGCAGGTCAAAGAGTATTCGAGAAAGCTGAATGAAGGATATGCGAACCTCTGAGTAAATAAAAACCCGGAGGTGTTCGAAAATACGAAGTCGCTTTTCCCCTTAGTGAAGTATTTAAGAGTATGGGGTATACAAGTACTTACCTCCGCAATGCATCCACCACCATGAAGATTACCTTGTCAAAGATCCTCGGTGGCACATATTCGGATCTTCCAAATGTAGCCAGACCAGGAATCAGAGGCTTATAAGGGAAAAACCCAAAGGAGAATACTAAGATACCAACAGGTATGAGAACATTGGCCGCGAATACCAGCAAGTTGGCTGGCACGGCTTTCATCTTGGCCATTGGCGGACGTCGGTCAAGCATTTACTTGCAGACAATTGAAAACAGGCTGTCGCCAACCTGTAACATTCAGACGGAATCCATTAATGGGAGTTTACTGCTTGTATATAGTACTCTATGGCCGATTTAGAGATGGTCACTTTCACCGCCTGCCCTACTGAACAGCTTCATGCTTATCGATACCGTAAGCTTTTTCTTGGCCTTCCGGCCCTTCCCAGAACTGGCCGTTTTGGATAAGAAGCACTCATGTGTCAAACAAAAGAAGGGTTGCATAAAATTCAAAAATATGATACCGAGCACTGTGGCATTTAAGCCAGTTCAAGTTGATAACGCGACCATTGGAAGCATGCTTACTTCCCGAGAAGACGCCGCCAGCCTCGTCTTTCGCCGGGCAGGACGTACTTATGTGCCGGTCCTAATGCAGCAACCTATGGTGGCAAGTTTAGAGCTCAACTGGTTGTTAGGGATCACAGCTGCTCTTCTGATCGGCATGATGCCGCAAGAGGGACGCTCTAGACAATCGCTGAATGTCGGCAGAAACTCCTTTCGTGATATACCGAGCCACAATGAACACGGCCATCGAAATCCAATGGGTTGTTGGACAACACTCTGTCTTCGTCGGAAGGCCATAGAAAAAAGGGCATCGTTCACTTCTTCCTGGGCGCTTTGTTGGTTTTCGATGGGTGGGGTTTAAAAACGATAGAAGAGCGATTCTTTCTCTGACGCTTTTGAATTCGTCCGGATCGTTGCGAACGACTACCCGCGTTGCCTCCTGAGGAGTCGATGTCCATTGCTATATAGAGAAGTCAGCCCGGACCGTGGTAAGGATCCGCGTTCGTTCGTTCGTTTACCTTCACTGCTTTCTGGGGTTGTCTTGTCGCCGGCCTGGGTATCTAAATGTTGTTAGTCAGGGCTAGCTTTGCCCATTATATATTGGCGCATACCCAAATCTGTGGCCCCTGTGTCCTTCTTCGACTTTTCTGTAGCGCTTGGCTTAGGCTGGGAGGCAAGCTCTTGAAGCTTTGCTGACAATCTTTCGGTTCGGGCATCTACAGCAGGCCCGAAAACTGTAGAGCGAAGTTTTGCCTTGTTGCGCTTTTGCACACTTGCCCGGACGCTCTTCGCCATTGTGATGTCGTAGTCTATAGGGGACTGATAATTCAGCGATAAATATGATATGTTTGAGGGAAGGTCGATTGATCGAAAATCGCGGAGTTGCTGTGTAAGTCTGTAAGAAAAAAGTTTTTGTATCACAACGGATGGCGAACACCGGGCCAGGCCTTATGTCATCCGATCGGAGCCACCTCCGTACTCGTCGCTGGATAGAAGTTGATTTGCTAGGAACTTTGAAATGAGCGCAACGGCATTCTTGTACTCGTTATCGCACTTGCCATACTTGAAGGTCTGAAATTGAGATGTCTCTTAATGGATCTGGTCAGAAGAAGCTTTCGTCGTTAAATCACACCTTCCGGGATTTTCTAGAGTTCCACATCTTCAAACATTAACACCTACTCTGGAGAATTCGTCCTAAAGATGGCCTCTGGCCAGGCATCTGAGCTCCAAAGCGTGATTGCTCTGGTCAAAACCTTGACCAATGCGCAATTGAAAGAGATTTTAAGAGATGCGGGAATGACGGTATCTGGTTTGAAAGCTGCACTCCAGATGCGCATCATCAGCGGTTTGTACATCTTCCCCTTTGACAATAAAGGCAACAAAACAAGATAAGAATGGGCTTACTGAACTCTAACCAGCTCTCGAATCATATCCCCAAACCGGCCATCTTGATCGATATGATAGCCTCAGAAGATCCATATATGCTACTGCGCATCGATCATTGCCTCCCTCTCCATCTATACCGCCACCAGCGCCAGGCCACTATTATCAACAAGTCTCGACCAATCATTCAATACAGTCGCATCATAGACCGTCCCCCATAGGGATGCCCGTACCCTCACACGGGTCCTCATCTGGTACGATTGCGTGCAGCATTGCTTCAAAGCTTGTTTCTCACAGTCTCTCAGGGCCGCTCATTTTCAAGGATAGTCCTTTCTATCGAATAGAGCGTCAGCTCACACCTACTATTGAATGCAAAGGTGAGCTTTTCTCAGCCAGCTGCTGCTATCTTTTTGCGCGTCCGTTCTAATCGTTCAAAGCAGCCCGTGAGCATACTAGAGATAGCGTGGAGCTCAAGATTCACCTTGATGAGAACACAACATCCAGGTTACTGGTAGACCCCAAGCTACGTGTCATGATTTTCTGCGCCGCGGACTCTGGACTCAACCCGTATACCAAGTCTGATATCGCCTTTCCTCATCAAGTCGAACTCAAAGCGAACCTCGACGAGGTGAAAGCCAATCTGAGAGGCCTCAAAAATAAACCCGGTACTACGAGACCAGCAGACATAACAAACTATATCCGGAAAAAAGCCGGCTATCCAAACCACGTTGTTATGACATATGCGCTGACCCAGAAAGTAAGCAAGCCCTCACCTTTATACGAGTCGCCCACTTACACCTAATAAGAGGTTCTTTGTTGTTGCCAACCTGGTTGAATGTACCGCAATCGAAGAGCTTGTGGATAAGCTGAAACGACGGAAGACCATCACAAAGGAGCAGGTGCTCCAAGAGAGTATGTTACACTCTCGCACGTAGTGAAGACGCTAACATATACCAGTGAAAAGCAAGGCCGAGGATGCAGACATCGTCGCTACTTCGACCGTGATGTCGCTGAAATGTCCTCTCTCTACTCAGCGAATCGAGGTGCCATGTCGCTCTGTGTTATGTACACACAACCAGTGCTTTGACGCGTCGTCCTTCCTCCAACTGCAAGAGCAAGCACCAACATGGTCATGTCCAGTGTGCGCAAAGTCGACGAGCTACGAGTCGTTGAACGTTGATCAGTAAGTCACTAATATTTCTTGGCCTGAAGCCTCCTAACCGCTTAGATACGTTGACGACATCCTCCACTCAACGCCACACGACGTTGAGCAAGTCATAATAGAACCGGATGGGCAATGGTCAAATCCCAAGGACGAGGTGGCAGTGACGGGACCTGGCAGCGTTACACCTGCGACAGACGACGACGATTTGATAGAAATCAAGGAACCGGGGGTCACCCCGGTAAAGCAAGAGCATCTTCCTGCGATAGACTTGTTACAGCAGACGCCGGCTACGTCGCGGGAACAGTCCTCAACATGGTCGACTAACAAACGGCCGGCTCCTGTGATCGATCTTACAGGTAGTGACGATGATGATGACTCCCCTATACGGCCGCCAAAGAGACAAGCCGTTCAAATGCATCGGACCTTACCTCGACAGGATTCCCGAAGCTCATACACAGGCGGCTACTCTCTTCCGCCGTTTGTCGCAGACTGATGGCTAAGATGGTGGTGCTGTTCACGATCAATCCAGCGGCGCATATTCTCGGCGTTACGGCGTGATTCATTTTCGGAGCCTAGGAGTGTAATTGCATTAAAAGCCATTTGGCGTTGGACAGTGGGCAGTTTTAATTACTTTAGCGACTACGGAGTAATGCCACTTTGCTGATGAGCATAGAGTGCTTCTTTATGACTTTCACCATGCGGAGAAGGGGAGAGAAAAAGTAGCATGACTTCAAGCTCCACAGTTCGTAGGAGTATTCCGTGACAAATATGACGCAGGTAACATATTTTTGATCTATACGCGGTACGGATTACGGAGTAAAACGCCCCAATTATGCAATGGCCAGCCAAGCGCTCGGACCAGGAACGTATCTAAATTCTAAAACCGCTGAAACTGTCCTGCTCCGCAAAAACCCCATAATCAACTCCTCTATTGACTTGCACGCGCATCCCACTATGAACTTCACGTGGTCAAGACTTGTTAGTCACTAGGACTGTCTATTACCTCCTTATTCCCTGCTTCAATAAATTTATCATACAACTACGTGTCATACACTAAGAATCCACCCGCGAACATGTCGTTCGATGCGCCCGCCGCACACCTCAACGCCTCTAATCCGCAAGATCGACTCCTCAGCGCATCATGTCTAGACTTCCTTCTCATTGAACTGGTCCCAATGGCTGAGCGAATAGCCCAAGATCTCGCAGCGGAGGATCGACTACTGGATGACGAAGAAACAAAGGAAGCGGCGTTCTTCCGCCTCGAATCACTAGGTTATAGAGTCGGGCAAGGTCTTGCGGAAAGGTGCGCATGCCAGTATTTGCCTTCACTTCCACCTGCTCTCCCTCCTTTCGGAGCTAGGGCCCCGACATGGGCAGCCAAAGTATCCACAAATTCTCATTTCTGAGCCCTGGCATGCTAATCATGTATTTTACGTGTCGACAGGTTCTCTCGAGATCGCCCCCGTTTCACAGATAACCTAGATGTTATCAAGTTCCTTTGCAAAGATTTATGGATGACATTATTCAAGAAGCAAATCGACAATCTAAAAACAAACCATCGCGTGAGTGTTTCTTGACAGCCCATGCAACCATGAGATGGCTGGACCTGACATAGGGTTTTGTTCTAGGGAGTATATGTGTTGACAGACAACTCCTTTCGACCCTTCGCGAGGATGAGCATGTCTGTAAGAAGCGACGCAGTGTCTATGGCGCAAGCGGTAAGATAGCTAATGTGGATTCATATTTGTCATGTTCAATACTGATCAACTCGTCTTCAGTATCTGTGGTTTCCCTGTGGTGTCATTCGTGGGGCACTCTCAAACTTGGGTATTCATACAACCGTCCAGGCCGAAACTACAGAGCTTCCCGGGGCCGCCTTCCAAATAAAAACAATCAACAAATCGTGAGAGGACCCCCACTCAGGTGATTCTAACTGGGGCTGTATGCACCGCATCACTGAGTCTTTCGAGGGTTTGCGGCTGGAAGTCGCCTGAGCTAGCGACTGCCTTCTAAGATGGGCCACTAATGGCATACCCTTCACGCAATTCGGCCAACTAGCTACGTTGTGCGAGTAGTAGGATATTTGGTTCCTTCTGCATTGTTCCTATTATATGGCAGCAGAGCAACAGACGCGATTCATTACCATCCTCAGCCATCCGTCCCACATCATATTCTAGCGATTCAAAGCCTATCTTTCCCAAATGCCAGTGATTAGCGAAGCTTCTTCAGGTGGCGGGCTTGGATGGACCGCCAAAGATACGTCTTTGCGAGCAGCATACGGTGACCGACCAATGCATGGGAGCCTTGGAATCAAGGACGGGGATGGGCGCGTTTACTTTGGTGGCGGGCTCTTGACAAATTCGACGCCCTTCTCAATGTTGCCCTTGAGACCCTTGATAGCGGTCTCAAGGAGCTTTTTCTCGACGTCAGTGACACCGTCGAGAATGTTAATAGCCTTCTGCACGCCATTCGGCTATTCACAATGTTAGCATCCCTCGGGCAAATAATAATTCCAATCCAGATACTCACTCCAAGCTCGATGGGGGTTGAGAAAAAGTCAACGCCGGTGGCATTGGCGATGTCTGCGCCACCAGGGACACCAGGCAGGTAGACGTAGCTGGGCTCGACAATGCCCGACTGGCCCTTCGAGGCCTTGATCACACTTTCGGCAAATCTGTGCTTGAGTTAGCTCTCAACGCGGCGCTTTGAGATATGGAGAAAGTTAGACCTGAAACCAGCAAAAGCCATGGATAGGGTAGCGGAACCAGCACCGTCCTTAGCCTTGACAACCTCGTCGCCACCAAACTGGACGCCTACCCAAGTGTCAGTAATAGGTAACACTGCCAGTTCAGAGCTCTATGGGAAAACCCACGGTTTACAAGAGCGTCGTACTTGTCTGCGGGGATCTGGAAGGCAGGAGAAACCTTGCTGAAAAGAGGGACGATGGTTTCGCCGGAGTGACCACCAATAACAGGGACTGTTACAGCGGACGGGTCCTTTTGGCCGGAGAATTCCTGGGTGAAGGTCTCTGCACGGACAACGTCTAGAGTGGTGACACCAAAGAGACGCGTGGCGTCAAAGACGCCGGAGGCTTTGAGAACCTCGGCGGCAATTGGTACAGTTGAATTAACGGGATTCGAGATAATCAGGACAAAAGCCTTGGGGCTGTGTTCGGCGATACCCTTAACAAGATCGCGGACAATGCCAGCGTTGATCTTAAAAAGGTCATCACGGGTCATACCAGGCTTGCCTAATGCAACTGATTAGGGGAACACCGAGAAGGATAATTGGGGTTGACTGACGAGGAATTCCAGCAGGAATAACGACAATATCGGTGCCAGTTAGAGCATTCTTGAGGCCATCGTCCTTGGGCAAGTAGCCGGAGATTTTCTGTCCAATGCGTTAGCTCATCAGGGCGCCAGCGCTTGTCTAGTTTTAATGATATACAGCAACGGAAGAGATGTGAGAGAGGTCGGCGGCAACCCCGGGGGTGTTGACGACATCGTAGAGTGCGAGCTCGTCCACGAGAGGTGAAGTCTTGAGCAGAAGGGACAGAGGCTATAAGAAGTGATTAGAGATGCGCTCAATGGGGCCAGAAGCCCAGGAGTATCTGGTAATCCAAACCTGGCCAATGCCACCAGAGGCTCCGAGAACAGCTGTGTACGTTAGATAATGAGAACTCAATTGACTGTCTCTGGGCTTCGTTCAACGCACCGGCTTTAACCATCGTGTAAACAGGGGACTTTGGTTGTACTGAAAGAAGATGGAGTTAGATCGACTAATTGCGAAAACGAGAGTACGGCAAAAGTTGTTTATGAGGTAGAAGCTTGGAGACGGATAACGGAGGAGGAGAGAAGACTGGAACTCTGGAGCTCCGAACTGCTGTTGAGCGGAGGGGTAAATGAGGGGTAGAGGCTAGAGAGCCAGGGTGGGACAAGCAGGGAAAGCTCGAGACAACACTATTCCTTCTACTTACGTCGGTGAGATGAAATCAGACGAGATGACAAATATTTTGCAAGGTAGCGAAAGGAGGAGAAAGAAGCTTGCTTCAACGGTGATGCTTGATCTCTATTTATATACTGCTGTCGGCCGTTACAACCTTGAACCGACTGGAGAATCACATGTGGGGAGTTAGTAAGTTACTCCGTCCCCGGCTGGATCTACGGAGTACATGGGTTCGGCATTCGACTACAGTTATGGATTTACTCTGAACGTACGCATAGAGTACATATCACTACTAAAATAAGCAAGAAACTGTAATATAATTACACATTATAGTTCCATACTTCTTGGTATTCCTCGTCAGCCTATCATTTACATGGAGTCAACCTAGAACGGCGGCCGTAATGATAACTATGCCGGCGGCTACCTGACTCACGGTCCAACAAATGCCTGGGCAAATTCGCAATGACGAAAAGGCGTCTTATTCCGGCGATTCTAGTCCCGTCTCTGGAATCTGGATAGCCGCTGACAGGGCCGTTGCGCATCTGACCCTTCGGGAAAAGGCGGGTACCGAACTTGCCCTGCGGTAGAAGATAATAATAATGGCGGCAGCAGTTATTTCGGGCCGAACTACGATTGCGAAGTATCAAGCCATGTGCCGTTGCCTGGACTCACAAGGCAAAGTAACTACGTCTACACTAGCAAGGGTTCGTTGTTTTCCCGCCCTTATCGCCATTTGTATTTAATATGCCTGATCATTACCACAAGACGGCCTAGTTTCGAGGAAAGTTTTCTTTCATTTTTTTGGTTCTCCCTTTCCCCGGTCCCAATTACGGGGCCAATTGCCGCGGAGTGAATCAATAGCAAATTCTTGCTAAATACATGGACGTCACTTCCCGTTGGGCGGCACTGTGCCAGTGTATTGAACTTGCAATGTCATATCCCTAACCTTCACTCTAGATAAATCGCTTTACGCGGATTCCTGCTCAGCGGCCTTCCTGGCCTGAGCGCCGCGGGGCTTCCTGGCAGGGGTCTCCTTCTTGGCTTTCTGGGAGCGGCGGATGGCGCTCACGCGGGAAACAGCCTCTTGACGAAGGTCAGCACGGTAGCCGCCCTTAGCAGTCCGGTCAGCGACACCCTTGTATATCCTAGATGCGGCGGGAAAAAACAGCCAGTCAGCAAATTTGAGCCCCTATTCAATCAATCATCCAAACAGCTAGCGACTACTTACTTGCGGTTGGACGCGCCAGGGCCGTAGGTCACGGAAGCGAGGCTCTTAGCAGGCTGCTGGGAAGTACCAGGCTTCTTGGTGATGGTGATAACGCCGCCGTTCTCGGTGGCTTGCACACCAACGGCCTATCATCGGTGGTCAAAATCCGTCCTAATTGAAAGTGTCGTATCGAAGACAGCTGGCTGATTTACCTTGGTGTTGGAGTATCCGGCGTACTAAGCATAGACAAATCCGTTAGCGAATGCTTCCTCGTATGATATGGAGCGGATTCTTGGGGCAGGCTCTCCTCCGCAGGTTCTTCGTACCTTGAAAGAGTGCTTGTTCAGCACGTTGAGGGGATCGCGCGAGAACTGAACGCCGCCATTGCTGTTACGCTTAACCAGGTAAGCGTTCTGGTTGCCTGTACAGATGCCCTCGAATTAGCCCGCTGTCCATGATTAAATCCGAGCCTGGAGCCAGGGTGTCGATTGCGTGAGTAACTGCCGACGTACGGGTGAGCTGCCAGATGAGGTCGCTGGAAACGTTCGATCTTTCGGCGGCCATTGTGAATGTCTGTCTGGAGTTGAGGTTATGAACACAGATCGAATTCGCAAGTCCGATTTCCTAGCTTGGGCCACTGGTTTTCCGTGGATCATTGTGCGCCAATGCCAAGAGTGACGCCGCGGTCTCGCTAAGCGGGCCAATTTAGGAATAGGGCTGGGTGCCTGATCTTTCTGCCTGAGATCTAGGACAGACTGGCCCAGCACGGACGCAGGTGGACACAGCCTCCCACGGTCCACCTCGCCTGCCTCTTCCGCATCCTTCCAGGCGGATTACTACTACGACGATTACAAAGTATTTGTAGTTCTAAAAGTTGCTTTGATATCAACCTTTCTCTTGTTCTAGATGTGCTGATTTTGCCGGTTCTCGCTGGTTCGTGTCCAAACGGTGGCATCAACGGTGCTGAAGATTACGAGTCATTGATATACGGCTCCTCGGTCCTTGACTGTTTGCAGTCAAATCATTCTTCAACCGAGACCATTACTGCTCGTCTTGAATAATCGGCTCTCATCAAAGTTGAGCCTTAAAATGACCTATTTCTTCTACTTCCTTGCCCTATTCGTTGGTATCTGCGGCACTGGTACGTCACCCAAAGCAACAGCCGCGGAATCGAGAGTCTAACGTCCTATTGCAGCTCTTTATCTCACCCGTTCGCGATGGTTACCACATCTTCCCGTTCCTGACTACATTTATGACCGTCTCCCATCCAGCTTCACCGACGACCTGGCGGCGGGGCTCACATCGTCCGATTTTAACCTCTCAACAAATATTGAGAATGGAGATCAAAGGGCCGGGTTGGACGCACGGGGCAAACGTGAAGTCCTGACTATCATGAGACGCCAAGGGGTTAATTTCGATGAAGCGCGTCGCATTTATACCGAGCAACGATTTGCCAAGAACAATATCGGTCCTGATGGCCGGCCCAGGGATCCGAAATTCGTATCGTTCTCATGACAAGAGGCCCTTGTTATTCCATCTTTTTGTCGTTACTTCGTCTATCTTCTCTTCTTTCTAGGTTTGGTCACTAGTACCTTTTCACACCACCCTGCTAGCCTTCAGTAAGGCTTTTTATTTTTTACTACGTAGCGAATTGTTTTATGCGTCTATTTCGCCTATTTTAGCGCGTGTCATTACGATATTTCATGGAAGTTATTGCAGGGCCCTGAAGACTGGATCTACCAGGTGGATCAAGCTGCATACAGGGTATGCGTAAAGTTGACCTCACCAAGAAATAGTAAGTTGAGCGAAAATAGTTATAGAATCGTGGCTATAGAATATAATCACATATCGCTCACTCCGCGAATTGCGGATGCTCTGGTGTTCGAAGAAGGGTACGTAAAATCCCGCGAAACCCTTGGAATTTGCGAATCTGCACGCTCGCTATACAGACTCGCGTATTGGATTAGAGGCAGGAGTCCGCAATGTCTTGTTTTCAAGCGTTCAGAGTATCTACGCCCACTATATCCCCGTTTTTGAATTCGCAAGATAGGTTCGATAACGTAAACATCGAGGTTCACCGTCCCCTACCATAACCTGGCTGTTGAAATCCAGGAGGCAATGGTGGCGGTGCATCAGAGCTTCCTGGAGGCGGGCCGAAACCTGGAGGCGCAAACCCTGGAGGTGGGGCAGTCTGGGAAGGGAAAGGCACCTGCTGACCGGGATTGTTGAAGCCCGGAGGTAAAAAGGATTGAGGACCCCCATACCCTGCCTGCGAGGGTGGAGGCCGTGCTGGGAGACCTGGAGGTGGGGTGGCTAATGAGACTGGAGGGGGGCCATGTCTTGCCAATGGCTGCTGAGAAGCGATATTCGGTGGAAAGCCGACGAGTTGTGGCGGGGGCATTGGACCTCTTCCCATTCCGGGATCCGACGGACCGGCGCTCATTGGTCGCGATGTATCGACGTTGGGGATTGCGCCGGGTACAACAGGGGTAGTTGGGGCTGTGAATGGTGGTGGAAGAGTCTGAGTCGGCATTTGCACGTTGTGTCTTCGAGCCTGCGCAGCTAGCATTCGCTCTGCTTGGTCACCATGCCGCTCACCCTTTCCGTCTTTCTTATAAGCATATTGTACGGAGACCTGCTTATTCATGAGATACTGGCCGTTCATGTTAGCTATGGCGGCATCCGAAGACTCAAAGTCGGCAAAGGAAACAAAGCCGTATCCTTTTGATAGATTGCTCTCATCTCTTGCAACCTAAAGAGAGATTAGTGTATTATTATACTCGAAGAAGAGCGGGCCGTACCTTAGGCAAATTGACCAGGTTACCAAACCGGCTGAACGTATCATATAGAACTTGCTCCGTAACCATGGGGTCAAGGTTACCAACAAAGAGCTCTGCTCCAATTTCCACCGACTTCTGTTTATCAGCAGAAGCTTTGTTGACGCGGATTGGCTTCCCATATAAACGAATCCCGTTCATAATCCTCGAGGCGTATTCCGCATCCTCCTCGCTGTTGAACTCGACGAACCCATATCCTTGATGTGACTGCGTGACTCGATCTTTCGGCAGGTGAACGTTAACGATGCGCCCTGCCTGTAGCATGAGCTCCCATACCAGGCTATCGGAGACCCGTTCATCAAGGTTTCCGATATAAACGGTGGCCTCTTTATCCTGTTCCCTATAGGACAATTAGCATGGAAGTTACAGCAGATGAGGCTATCTTAACACACCAATGCCTTGCGCCTGACATAGCGCCAACGACTATTCTGAATGCTCAACAGTCGATTTGAAGTGGTTGCCCAAGGTCGCCGCAAAGCAGGGAATCTGTCTCAAATTAAATAGTATGACTAGTCCGATCCTTAAGCACTACTAATGAGATTAAAGATTGTGAAAAAAAAATGCGTGTAGGAAGAAGACGGGGAGAAGCTTGGTCGGCCGCGGTGGCTCGCATTATTGATGACCGTACTCCGTAGCTAGTTCCCGAAAACTTTGAGATCCAAACTCCTCTCCGCCTTTCAACCTTGCTTGAAGTCAACCACTCTTTGCCTCCGCTTGACTTGCTACTTTTCCTCAAACTAGCTGCCTCCTTCAATTGCATACGCGTCCGGTATATCACACTCAAAATGGTTCAGTTCTCTGAGGAAACGAAGGTAAGCTATGTTCACAACCTGTGCCAGCATACCCAGGTCGCTGACGATTATTTTCGTTCAGGAACGCATTTCCAAGGTCATCGATGTCTCCAGAGTCGCTGTTCACTAGTGAGAAGCCTCAGCCTCAGCATAAGTGATTCTAGACTCATGTAACTGAACTGCAGTGGATATCTGCCTTTGATCCTCTACCTTGGTATGTCCTTAGTATTTTGAGAACAAACAAGCTTGTACTAACAATGCTTTGCAGGATACACCTACAGCGATCCCAGGCCATCCCTCTTCAAGTAGTTTTACCTATCGGAATTGTCGAAGACTTTTGTCTGCTAACTGGACGGACAGACTGTTTTCACCTCTTGCATAAGTTGAAACCAGCCGGTTGGGCGCATTTTCATGAACACTAGCCTCTCGCACTTTTGATGAACAGCCCCGCCTTTAGATTCAGTTCTGTATGGTATAGCACAGAAACTAAAAGCGGTTGGGTGTTTATCTCCTTCACTTTGATGTGGAATCTGCGATTTGACCTCCATTCACATGTATTTTTAAGTATTTGGGTTCTATTATGTTGGCATGGGTTAATTAGAGCAAGTTATTTGGGACAGTTTTTCCTCTGGATCCAAGATACCAATCACCTTTTTATTCTTGGTGGCCCCAAGTGTGAGGGTGAGGCAAGGTGGTTGGAATGCATGAAGTGTGGAACAGGTGCTCTTTTAACACAAGAGCAGCCTTCAAATGGCCTGGTCTATGTCCACATTACTGCCAAGTAAGATACCTAGTAAAATCAGCATCATGCATAACAATGAACATATGCTTGCCCATCCCTGTCAATCTATAGTCACTAAGCCTTCGGCACGCCAAGCAATGTTGTTCGGGCTAAAAAGTTGAAAGCAGAACAACCAAAGCCCCAACACCACTAAGCACACTTTGACAGACACCTCTCACACTTAAGGTTCATGACTGGCAAGGATGGCTTGTCGTCATCCGTGGTGGAAACCATAGCAGGATTTACGGCAGGCATAGCAACGACCCTTTGTCTACATCCGCTAGATCTGATCAAGACTCGACTGCAAGGTACCTGAAGTTCATCCGCACTCGCTACTTGAGGTTGCAGCGCGTCTAATATCCAGCGTTTATCGCAGTCGACCGGACTTCATCCAACCGAGTTGGTGGTTCTCTTCGAGTTGTCCGCCAAATCTTTCATAGAGAGTGTGGGCTCGCCGCCTTCTATCGCGGGCTGACGCCGAACATCATCGGAAACTCCTCTAGCTGGGCGCTATACTTTTTATTCTATGGCAATGTCAAGGACATACTAGGAACTTGGCGCCTGCGCTGCAATTCAGATGGCGAGCAGCAGCGTCGGGAGCTGCTCACTTCATTCGATTATTTCATCGCATCGGGGTCTGCAGGTGCGTGCCTAAACCTCAGTTACTAGTCACCACTCACAGCTTACTCGCATAGGGATAATAACGTCCGTCCTGACAAACCCAGTGTGGGTCATCAAAACTCGCATGCTTGCCACGGGGTCCAAGTCGCCCGGCGCATACACCTCCTTTACAACAGGCGCAATGCAGATTTTGCGCTCAGAGGGCATCCCAGGCTTTTACCGTGGACTGGTCCCGTCGCTTTTCGGCGTCAGTCACGGCGCGCTGCAGTTCATGGCTTATGAGAAGCTGAAACTGCACCGAACGAACGCGAATACCAGGAACGGATATACACGAGAACTCACTAATATGGATTTCTTCATCATCTCGAGCATCTCCAAGGTCTTTGCGGGTTCAATTACGTACCCGTACCAGGTCCTTAGATCCCGACTTCAGATGTATGATGCCCATCTTGCATATCGGGGGCTTCGAGATGCGATTGTGCAGATCTGGGCTACAGAGGGTTTGGCTGGGTTTTATAAGGGTCTTGGCCCAAATTTGTTTCGTGTTTTGCCGAGCACCTGGGTCACTTTCTTGGTGTATGAGAATACCAGGGCATATATACCGAAAGTGATGTTGAACGGTTCATGATCAGACCTGCAGTGAAATGCGAATCTGGTTCAAAAACGCAAGACGTTATAAGTTAGGTTAACGACGAGTAATACTTTTGACATGCTGATCTAACTAACCCGGGGGCAACCTGAAGTGCCCAATATTTGGGCTTCTGGATTCATCTGTGTCACACACATTCAACATAGATGTACAATTATCTGGCAACAGAAAAGAAAAGGGATCCTCCAAGTGTCATGGAAACGCCCTATCCAACGCCAGACGTCTTAACATTTGTCCATCCCAGCTATATGAGAGAAAAAACAACGAACTAAACTTGAACCTGGTATCTTGGCAACCGGAATGCAAACAACTCCGGTCAAAATCAATCCGTCAAAACACGAAAAGGGGTGTCACTCGGCATCGCGCTTCCCGATATAGTATGTGTCCTCATTGTCCTCATCACTACTAGACGCCCCTGTATAAATGGAGTCCTCGTAGCTCCCCCGGCGGGCTTGGTCATCAGCACTCGAACGTCGCCGTCCATCAGCACCCACGTCAGTCTTGGAGATTCTGCGATCTTTCCCACGCCCTTTGATTCCCTTGTTGCTATTCTTATATAATCCTGCAAAATATTCCCACAGTTTCCGGTCCTGGGGGCTCATGTGTTCACCGTCGATCATGGTAGAGAACTTTTTGGTTAGGGCTTGGAGCGTTTGTGCGTGGAACTTATTTTGATGCGACTGGAGTTGAGATCAAACCAGGTTAGCTGATTCCAATCCACGATATGCGTGGTACTGTTAGGTTAGATCGGAGCTCACCTTAAGATTCCCGAGTTGAGTAAACTGTTTGCTACAGCCTTCTAAAAGACAGGTGAAAGGTTTGGTGTTCAGGTGAGTGATTTTGTGGGCACGGACGTTCCCTCGCTGGGCAAATTTCTTCTGGCAGATGTCGCAGGAGAAGGGTTTCTCTCCAGTATGGCGTCTTTGATGAGTCTACATCAGTTTACGCGGTTAGTTCAGCTCACCCCGATTCGTGCATTTCACTGTAGCTTACCTTGAGATTTCCTAGCTGCGAAAATCGCTGACCGCATGAGGGCTCTTTGCAGACCTACGATGGTCAGTCACATGCCATGTTGGTTGATTCCTGTTCCCGACTCACGAATGGCTTGTCTCCAGTATGGGCTCTTGTATGAATGTCAAGATGAGTCTTCTGAGCGAAGCTTTTCCCGCAGTGCGGCAGAGTGCATGTATACTTGCGCTTTTTCCCGGAGCGGGATTGCTGGTCTTCGATGATGACTGTTCCTCGAGCATTCGCAACCGGTGACATGTAGGGCTGAGCAAACCCATTGCCTCCTCCATGGGCCAGCTGCTGCAATGGCGGCAGCGACTGCAAGGCCGTCGGCTGCGATGTTCCCTTGGCTTGTATCGCTTTCATCAACACATCTACCTCTGTCGAGAACTCAACTTCGCTCGAATTGGGGTTCTTTTCCGAAGCAGGTGCACTGTTGGCAGGATCCGCGGCGGTTGGGCTTAGGGGTGGGGGCACGTCTTGCTCGACCTTGGACACGGAGTCCCGAGATACTCTGTTGACAGCGTTTCTGGCCGGCCGGATGTCGGGGATCTGCTGAACTAATGGTGGCTCTGAGGCCAGGCGCACGGACTGCGCGCTGAGCGGGGGGTTAGGGACGAAGAAATGCTGGTAGCCAGCATGGTGGTGCTGTTGATTATGGTGGTGGTGATGATGCGCTTGTTGCTGCTGCTGTTGTTGTTGTTGATGATGGTGGTGATGGGTGTTAAGGGGATGGCTGAAGCCGTATGTCGCCGGCGGTGGCTGGTGGTATGGCAATGGAAACGACGCCGTCGGGTTCGCTGTATAGAAGGAGAAGTTATGGCCGAGGCTGGAGCTCATCATGCGACGGGAGGCGACAGCACCAACGGCATGGCCGGGGAACTCGTATGATACGGGCTCTGCAGTCTCCATCGAGGCGGCTCGATCCAAACCCACTGCTGGTCTAGTCCCTGTGTCTCAAGCTGCAATACCGTTGCTATTGTCGATGGGCTTATCGAGGAAAAGTGGAAAGAGAGAGGAGGATAAGTTTGACTCTATATTGGTATCAGCCACCACATCGTTACCTGAAGAAGCAGATTCTAGGCTAAGTGCCTTACAGTCGATGAGCCTCTGGACGGCGTTCTTCAGTCTGTTTTGCTTTTTCTCTCGTACCACTGGCGAGACTGCGAGATGTTCTGCAAAAGCTTGGAAGACAATTTGAGCTTGTGAACGCTGGACAAAAGAAGCAAAAGGAACAGGAACAAGCAAACAAGGTATAAGGTATAGAGCCAATATCAGATTCAAAAACCAGCACGCCCAGAACTTCAAACCCAAGTACGAAATGGTCCAGATGAACAATGAGATATTAGAGCACCCCGCTTGATGGATGTTGAGCCGGGTATATAAGATGTCAAGCACGAACAATACGGAGTATCTCAGACGCTTGACAGGCAGTGACAACGAGGAATGATCTGAAGATGATCCCGATAATGGGGATCACTAGTAATAAGCAAATACGATCCGCCGAATTTAATCTATTATTTCTTCTTATTTTATTCTATTTCTATGGTGAGAAAACCGAATAAGCTAATTGGAAAAAGGAAAAAGTTTTTTTTTTTTCTTTTTCGGTGGTTCCCTGCAAGTGCACCTGCACACCTTACACTACGATCTAGAACAAGATATGCCTCTTTTTTTTGCTTATCCGCCTCTTCCTTCCGGTGTCCCAGAGCAGTGGGAGCAGCGGGTGGGGGGAAGACTAATCAACAGGGATCGTGCCTGTTCCAGTGTCCATAAGATATCTATGTTTGTTCAGGGCGCCTCCTTTTGTCATGGACAGGGCGCCAAGTCAGACATCTTCACGTAAACTGGATTGATATATACTCTGTACCCGAGCACCAACCTGTCATCCTAACTTTCAAGGCAAACCCTGACAATAAAACAAAAAGGGGCAGAGAACAAAAATGGAGGAGAAAATATCTCTTAGATAAAGGCAAAATGGTATCGACAAAATCATTAATAGTAATAATCTTTTAGTTCCGGGCTCTTTTTGCAGCCCCCACCAGGCATCGTGCCTACGCCAACTCCGTACTTCGTACCCCGTAGGCGTCCTCTTAGGCTGCCCTAAAAAGGATCCCTGTTACATATGGACCGAAACCCGCATGATCCATGTTGGTTGACATAGTCAAGACCTGCTTCCAATCCGAGCATAGCGGGACGCAACTAAGATATAGCCTGGAGGAGTCCATATATACAGTAGTGTACAGTAGGGAGTATACTAGTCTGCCCGGTGCGTTGACCAGATTCCGAATGATGTCTTTCCTACCCGCCCAGCACGATGGGGCGCAGACCCGTCGATTATTGCATCTGGCGAGGCACTGGGGAGGAAGACGGTCCGCTCATTTCGAGTCCAATCGCGGCATGCACAGTGACGTTCCGACCGGGCTGCCACTCAGTGGCGCTAACTCACACTCCGGTAGGTACCTTTTGCTGTACGTAAACGAGGCATGTATCTTTAGATCTTGGAATTGTCCCGATTATCTGCTGATCATCAACGATCCCGTCAGGCTTGTTTGCCATGAGTTCAGGGAATGTAATTCCGCCCCATCTATGGTCTTTTAGGGGCATACATGATTCATAATACTAGTCGTAAAAGTTATAACCACCGTCACAGTTCCCGCTCCATTTAGTTCGTATACTCCATAGCTCGATTGAGATCATCTGACCCGAATGGATGGTGGAAGGTGGGCCGGTTTCCAGAGCATGGACCCAGATCAATCCATCGGCCATCCGCAGGAACGTGTTGAGCAGTTTGTCCCTGACTGACAGGGTGATGATCGTCATTATTGTTGAACAGAGCCCGGTCGCCTGTCCAGAGCACTGATCAATTACATTCAGTTTTCATGCTGACTCCTGGGATAGGGTCTCGCTCGACCACTTGCAAACAATCCGGAGTCTGAATCAGGAGTCAGACGCCGGATGAACTACCGTGTCCGTAAGCAAGTCAAAGTCGGATTTTTGCTGACTGGGATACCCTCGTTTCCCACGCAGGCACCTGAGCTGCTGAAATGGCCCATGGGGGTCGGTTTCATAAAAAGCCACACTGCCTAGCGGATCGGCAGTCATAATCACCTGGACAGTAACTGCTCGGGAGGCGAGGCTGTCCACTATAGATCGTGCTCTCGAGGACCTTCAGCGAGGTACGTCGAGCACTTCCGGAGTATGTAAACGTGGAGCACATTGTATCTACTCTTCTCGATCCCGTTAGATGGAAAATAAAGATCTGAGATCCGAAAAAGAAAGCAGGATTCTGCTCTGTGGCCCTGGACGCCAGAACTTTGGCATTGCACCCTGCAGCTCTTGTTTCCATTGTCATCCTTAATGCAACTCCGGAGTTGACGGGATTGTCGAGACTGGCTGCATCTGCTGCAGGATGCCAGATCCCCATCGGAGCCTGTTGTTGGTTGAACGGGCAAGATGACATAGCGCTGACATTTATCGACAGACGTGTCATTCAGCGCCAGAATTGGAATCATTGAAGCAGAGTGAGTGACTGAGTGTCTTGACGCACGTACTTTCTGTACGAGAGATTGGAATCGATGGAGGGTTCGGCAAGGCTACAGAACAACGGACCGTCGGCAGGAGATCCAATAGTGCCGCAGTTCGCTGCACGCTCATTCGCCCCCACGCTCCTTTTCTTTTTTTGCATCGCAGGCTCGCAGCAGCCGCGACTGGCGCAGTTTTCAGTCCAGTTCCAGTCAGAAATCCATGGGGAAAACAAATCATTTTCTGCAAGGTTTTCTTTTTCTTTGTCAACAGCCGCTCTGGGGCGACAGGGCCAACCCTCCCAACCCTCAGAACTGCTTTCACAAGTCTCTCACCACCGGCCTGTTTCCAATAACCGGGAATTCTAGAAGTCTGTCTGACACCTCGACTCAAGACTGTGTAGATAAGGTGTGCTCTGCACTGTAGTTGCTCCTTTACGTCACCTCCCAACGCTGTTGATTTATTTCTGAGCAGTCTCCGACACATTTCGCCAAGAATCGGGACGAATTGATGTGTGCATGCGGATGCAGATGGCTGGACCAATAAAATGCTTTCCACCAGATCCCAGCGTCCGATCACTTGTCCAGTTTATCAATCATTGGGCGTGCGCATTGGATCTCCAAGATTGGCAGTGCGTGTGCCGGTCACTGTGCAGTGTGCTGCCACTTCCAGCTGGAAGTCTCGAGTCTTGATCAGCTTCACACCAAGCATGGGGTATGGCAGCACTAGTACGACTAGTGCCAACAATAGCCCTGAATCATGCTGAATGGCAAATTGGATCTTGGTAATTATGCTAACGTTGAGCACCAGGTTGCGAAACTCCGGCGAGCTTCAAAATTAAGACTTCTTGATCGCACTGTGCACACAATGGGAGTCCATGGGACACAGCTCCTCAGCTTCCCCTTTCCCCTGCGTAACATTTTCTGGGTGAATGGGATTTCGACTTGGCGCTGCGCTCTCAGCTTCTCAAGTGCGCGCTCGGGACCATGCCGCAAAATAAATAGTGATATTCAGCGTAGTACAGCTCGTGGCTGAGTCGGTGTCGGGGACCAGTCATGAACTATGTCAGCGACTCAGGAGTCAGCGCTATTACTCCGTCCAGGCTCCAGTTTCGCGTCGCCAAAATGTTTTCTTCTTCGTCGCTGAGGAACGGGCCGACCCTTTCCCTCGATGTCTGAGCGGCTGGAATCGTGGTTCGCATTAATACTATCGATGGCATCAGGCCCAGATGGCATAGATCGAGGACCGCTACTGGACCAGGGTTACTGGACCGTCATCGATTTTTTTGCTATTCCGACAGGCAATCTAAACAGCAGACTTGCAAGGAAAATTATATTTAACAATGGTCACTTCGAAGAAGTCTAACTTCTACTGTAGAGTCTCTACGTTCTGGGTCTCGTTTTGCCGAAGTCTATTCAAAGCACGACCGAAGGGATAAGATCGCGAAGTGCTTCAGTAGTCTCATTCCTCGTTTTTCTGCCGGTACATGATCGACAAGAATACAGCCAAAGGAGAAATGTGAATGGGAACCATTGAATCCGAGCGCAACAGCAGGAACGATGGGTCATATCACAACGCATCTACCTCTACGTAGGTACGGCCTCACTTTCTGCAGGGGATACAGACTTCACAGAGGTCCCAGAGAGATATGCACTAAACAATCATCCTTCCAAGCCCTTCTATCAAATCATGTGCTTGACAGGCGTGCTTCGTGAACCAAGAGCTTTCTAGGGTGTTGGGGGACCGGGGCTGAAGCATTGGCAATCAGAACAGATCGTGGCTGTACTTGATGCATGCAACCAGCCATAGGAGGGGGTTCAGGTTCGTCTCTGGCATCTCTGGCAGGTCTGCATGCTATGCCTACTGGCCCCTCTCACCTGGTTCCAGGGATGCTGCTGAACAAATCTTGATAGTCCGCCTACTGCGTGCTTGCCACTGCTTGGAGTCCGGATAATGCAGCCACCCCATCCCATCACATCGAACCGACCACTTTGCTGCCCAGCTAGAGGATCCTCAACCCCTCGCACGCAAGTCATCTGGCCAACTCAGGGGGTTGATTCTGTGTAATTGGCGACAGCCTTGCAGGTTTCGATCTCACTGAGACTGGCTTGACCCTGCAAGTACGGGGTATGTAGTCTAGTCTGTACGCCGTACGGACTGCTCCGGATTCCGTTCTATCGCTTACTTTGCCCACGGCTTGAGAGATTCGAGAGACTGCTCGCCGCTTAACCTAGGCCATGGCTCAAATACTCATTAGGTACTCCGTACCGATCCTACTTTGCGTGAAAACTGCTCATAAGCACTGGCTCTGAAACCAGTCAACCCGCAAAGAAAAAGTACAAGTGATCAAAATCCGCCAGCCGATGATAACACCAGTTTGAACGTACTCGGTGAAGGAAGTTCGCGCCAAAGCGCCAGAATGCCCTCCAATTCGTGAATGTTGTCCGCATTGAGTAAGACTTGGGCTGAGTGGTCACGAATACGATTGTCCTACTTTATGAGTTCATCGACACCATCATCGGCTGATCTTCTGGTTCATCATCTGAGGTGAACTGCGTAAGCTTGACTATTGTATCTGCGCAACAGTCTGAAGCCTTCTGAATTCACCGAACGAGCCTGAGTCTGACTATGTACACGGCAGCAAGAGGGCTGAGCTATGCTGTTCTCGAACAATACCAGAGAGAATACATATCAGCCTGAAGAAACCTCAGTCCGAATTTCAACAATATAGCGAGTGCTTCGATCTCCTTCCAGGTTCCTCACTATACGGCCGGAATTGAGATGCTATTTTCGTCGGTGGACTTGGGATCCGATGCGTACTTTGTACTGGTGCATTTAGCATGCTCCGTATCGGTGGTCAGCGGTCGTGTGGCTGCGAACCCCGAAGCCCGCATCGTTTCTTGCGCGCAGTAAAAGTCGGGTTTGACTGGGAGCCCTGGAGTGATACGGCTGCAGGAGTTTGATCTCATACAGATTATGCATGTACTAGCGCCCCCAATGCCGAACTTGCCACCCCCGTTCTCCGTGAGACTTGAGCTACGGATTATCGTCAAGACCAAGTGGATAGAACAAGCAGATGCCCGGAGCATAAGGAGAACGCCAGATGGTGGCCTGTGCTCACTTCATCCTGCAGGACCTGTATACAATGTGACGTCTGGTCTAAGCGAGCTGCGCTGGCCGGTGCCACCGTACGAAGTTATGCAACTCGCTGGTACCTTGACGGAGTACCTTTTACATCTGTTCCTACCATCTTTTGCTCTTCTTGATCGTCTCCTCGGTCACGCTGTAGTCTACTAATTTTACCGGAAAACCGTCAAGGAGCTTCTACCATAATATGTTGCGTCTTTCGTGCCTCATGACAATTGCGTTCATCTTTCAATATACCTAAATCAACCAAAAAGATATAATAGCATCGACACAAACCAACAAAAAAAATTCCCTTCATACATATTCCCCCTTTTTGTGGTTCAATATTCTGTTGCCTTGGTTTGTCGATGCTTGTATCAGAGACCACTCACACAGATAGCTGAGCCGAGACAGAGGGAAAAGAACGAGAAGATAATACAAGACCACCACAAAGCCATTCCGCCAAGCTGTACTACTAGGTCGTATGTTTGTTGTGAGCCAGGCACGCAAAAGAGGAGAATCAAAGTAGATCAAGAATCACGTTGACGCCGAAGCTTCCCAAATTCAATAATCATCGTCCGGTGTACGCGGAGTATCTGCAATGCGTTAGACAGTTAGCCAGCATATTAACAGCTCAGAGGGGATGTCATTTATATAGGGAAGGGCAAGGCCGAGTCTCATATTGAAGCGTACCTCCAGATTCTTGCACGCATGTCACCACTGCCAGTGGCGAACAGATTGCCAGTAGGACTGGGCGCAACTGAGATGACTTTTTTTTGTCAAGTTAGTTGGATATTCAAATACACATATGGAACATAGCCCGATTAACATACCAGAGTTCTTGTGCCCCTGAAGCATCATTTGTGCATTTCCAGTGATAGGATCCCAGAACTGGACACCCCTGTCTTTGGAACCGCTCATGACCCAGTGCCCATCGGGGGTCAAACAGACGCTAAGCACAAAGTCCTAGTATATAATGTAAATATTGGTATACGACGAGGAACACCACATTCGAAAAATAGAAGAAGATCAATGTTGCTTACCTTGTGGCCCTCGAAAGTTCTGTGGCACTTGCCGCCCTTGCCAGCACTGTTGTACTGTTGACGGGGCAGGTTGAGTTCCCAGAGTTTGATAGTCTTGTCCAAACTGCCGCTGACAAGTTCCTTTCCGTTCGGTGCAAAAGCAACGGAATACACGCTGTCCTTGTGGCCATCAGGGTTTTCGAGACGTTCGACAAGGTAACCAGTGGTGGTATCCCAGACTCTCACAGTCTTGTCTAGAGAGCCAGCGGCGACATAAAGGCCGTCCGGAGACATTGCCACTGTGGTAACGCCGTCCTCAATGCTGAGTGTGTAGACAAGCTTTCCCTCTGCAATATCCCAAAGACGCACAGTCTTGTCACCGCTACCAGAGGCGATGTACCGACCATTGCCGGCAAAATCTAGGGAATAGATATCCTGCTCGTGGCCACTGAAAATATGCTTGATGGTACGTGTGGCAATATCCCAAACCTACAAAGCATGCCCAAATTAGTCGACATTGAATAAACGATTGGTTGTTATATACGAGTAAGAGTAAGTCAAACTCACCCTGATCTGCTTATCCTCTGCACCAGTAGCCAGATACTTGCCGTCGGGGCTGAAGCAGACACTGCGAATATAGAGATCCCCGCTCTTATCGACACTCTCATCCTGTAGAACGGCCACGTTCTGGCCAAGGTTCACGTCAAAGATTTGAGCAGAACGGTTGCAACCAGTAGCGAGGTATTTTCCGTCGCGGCTAAAACGCACGCAGCACACAACGCTGTCGTGAACCAGATGGTGGACGAGTTCTATATCAAGAACTCGTTGCACTTCGGGGTTGAATACTGCATACCAATCGGCACCTTCTTTCTTCTGCGAAGGGGGCAGATCCTCGGGGTTCCAGTTAGCAAGCATGTTCCCAGGGCGATCTGTACGGACGACTGCTTGATTTGGGGGAGTCGGCCGAGCAAGTTGTGGCGACACACGGGAATCCGGATAAGCTAGTTGATGGGCCTGCTGTGGGGTGGCAGGGCCCGGGGGAGCGCGAGGGCGTTTTCCAGGGCCAGGGGAGGCTGTGGGGGGAGGAGGGGGGCCGTAGCCTATAGCGTATTGGAACAGTGGTCAGATGTCAGATAATCTGTCTTAAAATATAGTTACAACATACCGTTCACAGCAGCGCCAGGCTGATATCCTCCAAAAGAGCTCTGCTGTGGTTGCGGTGCTCCTGGTTGAGCCGCTGCGGCAGGCTGTTGAAGGCTATGCTGGGGTGGCTGCTGATCCTGGGGAGGGGGAGGGACAAGACCGGGGCCACTACCTCCTTGATTGGCCATGATACCACCAAACAGGTTGCTGGGTCCGTGACCCAATGCGGGCGGAGGCGCCTGCGAAGGACCGCCGTGCTGCGCGGGGACGGCGACATGAGAGGCAACGGGTTGGACACCTCGCGACTCAAGCTCGTGTCGCAACATGCGGATCTCTGCTTCATAACTGAGAAGGGATGAAAGTGTCAGTTACATGCCGAGAACAGCAGTACACATGACTAAGTGCGCATACTCTTGTTTCATCTTCAACTGTGTCTGTTCGAGCGAATAAACCTTCTGGCGAATCATCTCCATCTCCTGGAGCTGACCAGTGACTGCGATGCGGTACATCAGTGGAGCTCGTCACAAATACATTGCAATAAATCCTTTCCGAAGCGCAATCAAAGTCCATAAAACTTCCACTCCCTTTTTCAATCGTGAGGCATGAAGCTATGCAAGAGGAATGAACAGGAAAGTGCACATACGCTGGTGCTCGAACTCGCCAGTGCTCCTCGACTGGTTTTCAAATTCCTGACGCAACTGGTCCAGCAACTCATTGAGACGAGAATTGGGAGCAGGGACCATCCCGCGATGTGCGTTATACATGGTGTATGATGGTTTGGGAGGTCTGCGCCCGACCAGACGAGGGAAGACTTGTTCGGTGCAGCGCACCCCTAGGAGCTCGCGACGACAGACGAAGGTAGAAAGCGAAGAGAGACACGAGCCTGGAAGCGAATGCAGGTAGCCGAAAAATAAGGTCGCTATAGACGGAAAGGCGGCAATGGATGGGGGCGAGATACGAGGTTGAAGTTGGCTTCGCAGAGTTGTCGAGTGTCTAGCCGGAGTTCACAGCTAGGCAAGCGCGCCCGGCGTTAGTCGCGCCTACTCTTTACAGCCTGAGGTGAAGACAGCTGACTAACCAATGCCCAGTGGACTACTTTAAGTCTTCAACTTTACGAAGTGGAACTCCTTCAAAACATCCAAATCAGGCATAGCACGGGATTCCATGGCTTCTTATTGGAGCTTGACTGCCAAGCCTTGTCTTAAAGTCCACTGAAGGCTACATGTGATCTCTAATCCGACCCCCTCCCGTACTCCGTACCTTCTTGTCCCTGATCTACCGGGGTTTTTAGGGTGGTTAGAGTCGAACTAAGATTATTCTAAAGATAGAGAATTATAGTAAGCCTAGAGACAAGGTCATGTCTTTAGCTCTTCAAGATAGTTATGAGCACTTGTCGAGGTACAAGCCCTGTTTTATTAAGAGCTTGTCCCCCCCCCCCCGGCCTGCATTGAATCAATGTGGACACTGCTTGGCGGTCTCCATTCTCTCCCATGACAGGTCTTTTTCACCGCAAAAAGCCTGTTTTATTAGCCAGTAAATACAGCCAAGCCGGGTCCACCTTGATCCGATGCAGGCCTGGGGCCCGGGGGGTATGAGCCTTGCCTAATTTGGCCGTTTCCTGGTGAGCCCGTTCCACTGGCCCTTCTTTCCAATAATAATCCCCGGCCTCCGGCACTGCAGTGGTCTGATCTGAGTCCGCGTGGGCCTGCATTAGTTAGCTAGCTTGAATTTATTTAGTCCTTCAGAATCAGGTCCCGTACCTTTCTTGAACTCTCCGTGTTGACCACCTCTTCCCCTGAGCATTGTATACCACACCATTAATTGTATACACACCCAGGAGCTGTATACACGCTGAGGAAATCCTCTTTCCACCAACATGGATTGTGTCCTCGAACTGTGGGATTATTTTGTGGCCGATCGGCTCTATTCCGCCCTCCTCCCTGCATCGCTCTCCTCGAACGTCTCGATCCCAGGTTTTCCAACGGCGGCCAACAGCACTCTTTCTCTGTTCGGCGCATCCAAACCATTTGTGTATGAGCCCGCGACGAAGCTCATTTACTTAGAACCCTCCAAATATGCCTACCTGAGCGCTTGGCCTCGAAACAACATCTACCGCCAATTCCTGAGTTTTTTCTTAATTGTCTGGTATGCCACTACTAACAGCCCCTTTTCTGGCTTCTTGGTTGCCCGCACTTGCTAATCGTTTGTGCGGCAGGATCTTTGGCTTCATTGTCTACTTCATTTCTGCGACCTTATCGTATATGTTCATCTGGGACAAGACAACCGTCAAGCACCCCAAGTTCCTAAAGAATCAGATCCCCATGGAGATCGCGCAAACCATGCGCTCAATGCCAATCATGTCTCTGTTGACAGCACCTTTCTTGGTCGCCGAGGTTCGAGGCTATGCCAAACTCTACGATACTTTCGATGAGGAACCTTTTCCATACTACAGTATCCTGCAATTCCCATTGTTCATCGCATTCACCGATTTCTTCATCTATTGGATCCACCGCGGCTTGCATCATCCTTCCGTTTACAAGACTTTGCACAAGCCTCACCATAAGTGGATCATGCCTAGCCCTTTCGCCTCCCACGCTTTCCACCCGGTCGATGGCTGGTCTCAGAGTGTTCCCTACCACGTATTTCCTTTCATCTTTCCATTGCAGAAGGGCGCCTATGTTGTCCTGTTTGGTTTCATCAACATCTGGACAGTCATGATACACGACGGCGAATACGTCGCCAATAGTCCGGTGATCAACGGAGCGGCCTGCCACACGATGCATCACCTTTACTTCAACTACAACTATGGTCAATTTACCACTTTGTGGGATCGCATGGGTGGCAGCTACCGGAAGCCGAACGAGGAGCTTTTCCGACGTGAGACAAAGATGGGTGAGGAAGAGTGGAAGCGACAGACTAAGGAAATGGAAACAATCCTCAAAGACGTCGAAGGAGATGATGATCGCAAGTACCTTGCTGAAGAGGCTAGCAAGAAAAACCTGTGAATCGCCGCCTGTTCACAGAATGGCTAAATTTGAGACGGTTCACACATGAGTGCCGACTATCTCAGCTGCACCTCTTATGTCCTGGATATCACTCAACGGGTCTCATCTTAAATTCCATGAGCTAACTCTATTACTGGAGTTGATCACGAGGTTGACGTATTTCCCTTTCGCCCTTCTCTTTTTGCGTCCCTTATCCTGCACATAATCCCCATTACTGTCACGCTATACAACACTAATACCAGCGTCTATTTTAATCATTTCACCGAGACATCTTTAACGTGTCATTGCGGATGGCCGGGATAAACCGCACCCTTGATCATATAGAGTGGCGTTCTTGGTTAGACTTTATCTACTGTGGAGGTTTCAAATGTACATAGCTTGAATGAACAAAATATCGCGATCTTCAAGAAATCAGAACTTCCACCGATAAATAGTCCTAGCTAGATGGTCACGTCACATGCAAAGGTGTCTCAAATGGACAAACCATAATCCGGAGCAGATTAGACTGCCTATAATCTGCCCGAATGCCATTTCTTACTTCAGTTCAGGTGCACGAATTGTTCTCACAATGTCTAAGGGTACTAACCACATCTTATATACCTAACATTATATTTCTGCTTTTGCCCAGATTATACGTTTAACATATGCTTGTGAAAATCGCTATACCTACTTAGACCGAGCACATCAGGAGGGAAAAAATACAACGGAGAAGGGTTAAACAGAACAGGTCACCCATGAATGATGGCAGGCATCGGCAGAGAACCGGATCCTAAGGAAAGGGCAGACACGGACTTAATCAGCTGCCCCGTCCGCGCCGGCATCTGTAATATCCAGATCTCCATCGCCAGCTACATCCGCAGGGCTGCTCTCCTCAGCAGCAGCTGGAGGAGGGGTGGGAGCATTTGTCCCAAGAGGCGTTGCGTTGGCCATGGCATCAGTGATGAAGGCTTCCTCAACGCCGGCCTTGCGACGGAACACGCGAAGCCAGCGCCGACCCCACTGACGAATGATTTCATCCTCGGGCAAATCACCGCTGCCATCGCCACGTTCCATAAGCTGGTCGTTGCTACCTCCAGCGACGGAGACGACGGAGTCCTCAATGACCTGGAAAAGCGCATGCATATCTTTCTTTTCGCGGGTAAGTGTTTCATCAAGCACGCTTAGCTGGGGTTCGTAGAGGCCTTGCTGGGTGCGTGCCGCGACGATCTGGCGGAGGCGGTTGGTGACTTTACCGACAGTGGCGGAGATCATCTCGAAGATGTGAGTCTTCGCGAGGATTGATCCCGCGTCCAGCTGGTCAATTAGGGCCCATTCGATGACCGAGAGGGGTGTTATAATTGTGTAGTTTAGCAGCTTGTCGATGATGTTTATACCGATGCCCGGTTGGTCGACCCAGTAATCCATGACTGAGGTGAGGATCTGACGGCGCGCAGCAGGTGATTTGGGCCCAATGGCTAAGAGACGTTCCTTGTTCCGCTCGATGCAGGACAGAACGTGAGAGAGGGATTTTGAGCCTACAAAGCAGATCGAGGTGACAAAAGCATCAGTTGAAGGTAGCAGGGGACTCTCAACTCCCATTCCTGCTGCTTGCTCCTCAATCGCATTGATATGAGGTTGAATCTCATCATCGGCGGCCTTTCTGCGAATGAGCTGCATGATTTCTCTTCCTTCCTTTGCATAGGGAGTTGCTGAAGACAAAACGTTAGCTACTGAGTGGAGAGTGCGAAATTGGAACACCAGCTCGACTTACTGTCAGACGCATATTTGAAGTCAGGGGTGTCCTTTTCTTTCCCTTCAGAGATGAGGTCTTGATACGGATCCGGAAGGGTTCCCCTTATGCGCTGCGCAAAACTCAGCCGTATCTCTTTGTCTAGCGCGCCAGTGATGAAAGCCATCCTTGGATGTACAACGGGAAGCTCCAGGTCTTCGATCCTATTTCAGGCTAGTCAGCTACGTTGTGGTACGCATGCCATGCAAGTTTAAAAAACAAACCATTCACTCCACTTCCAGGTAAACCCGAAATTGCTCAAGTGATGCGCGAACCAATCCAGGAAACGGTGACTTAGGTCCAAGTCAATCACATCGAGACTGCGGTAGAGAAAGCGGATGGCACGTCCCAAACTTGGCGCGATTGCTGCCGGTGCGATCTTGCAGCACTCCGTGAGCACAGCATGATAATAAACAAGTTTGTGTTCTGGTGAAGGTAGTTGGAACAACTGGGAAAAGACGGCATCAACGGCCACATCCTCCGGTTTCCACGTTGGGCGGTCCTCGGGGAGGTCGCGCAATCTATCGAATGGTGTCGCACGCTTCACAAATATGCTGGGTGTAAAATAGCAGTCGAGATCAATCAAGAACTTTGCCGTCGCAATACGGTTAAAGTCCAGAATGTTAATGGTGTCAACAAGGGCGTCCCTGAGCAAAGATGAGGCAATATTTGATGTTGATGGGACTGTCTCGACATCTTGATCTCCATAAACGGACAAATACACCTCTGGGAAGATTGCCCTCGATCCATTTTGTACCGGATTCGGTATTGTGATCTCAGGTAACGGATGCTTGGGTCCTTCTTCAAGACGCCTCGGTTCCTCATCATTTTCCCTGACATTTCTCCACGGCCGTGGAAGACACGCCAGTTCCCAGTTCCGACTTGACTCTGCTTGTAGCTGGCTTTGGAGTAGACTGATAACGCTCGGCACAGTGGCCGATTTCTGACTATCAGGTCCAAAAGGATTCACCAAGTCCACGAGCGTATGTGGCGTGGATGCGATTATATCGGTTTTTTCCAGTAGACTGAGCGCCTGGCCTTCAAAACCGCTGGCCGGGGAAGCCATGACGTACGGAATGGTGTATAAGATAATCTTCACGAGCTCCAATCCGATCAACTATGAGATAAATATTAGCGTGCTTGCATACCAAAGAGTCATAAAAGGCCTACATCTTCAGAGGAGGCTGTTTGGAGATCCACAGCACGAGAGAATAGCTCCTCCAAGATCGCGAAAACGCCATCACCTTGGAAGATACACTGTAAGCATCCTAGGAAGCGTAGGAGAAGCTTGACTTCACGCCAAGCACCGGCATCGACATTGTATTGGAAGCGACCAACTGCGCGCTTCACAACATCGGCGGCGAGCTCCGACTTGATTGTGTTAGCAACGAGGACTGTTGTTGCAATAAAGGGTATTTTCATCGGCTGTTCCAGGATACTATGAGTGTGACACAATCAGTGAGGTTCAAAGCGGCATTCCACCAAGCAATATTGATCGGGCAACACACAGGTCGAGCGCGATCTCAATGAAGTTATCCCTTAGCTCCTCGTCCTCGTAGTGCTCGGCCACGTTCTTCGCGATACTCAGTGCATCGTCCTCCGCTCTTCTTGCAGCCTAAGCATATGGTGTAAGCGCGGCGAGCAATCACTGCAGCTTGAGCGCAGATATTTGACAGGCATACCGATTCAGCAATTGTGAGAAGTTGCCGTCGGACTTTGACAACTAAAGGTTCTTCGTACCTGCGTCGCTGGCGACGGTCGTAGTCATCGTCATCTGTTTTAAGCCGCGAGTTAGCAAGCGATTTTGCCGTAGATCGTGAGCAGTCGATTGGCCTTTTGAGTTCTTACCTCTATAACGCCGTTTGCGCCCACCTCCCTTAGGGCCGTGATTCCGACGCTCGTAATCAGCCATGTATTCTTGCCTCGCCGGGGCCTACGTATATCCCAGAAAGAAAGTTAATGGTAATTGACTGTGTGTTTTGAAGCAATAGCAGATACGAGGGTCAAGGGACCTTGGTCAACTTGGAGCTCAGATCGCGTACGTCAAGCTCAAAAACACCGGAGAGCTCGGAGACCGGATTATCCGTGCCGCCGATTGTCTAACTGTCTCCAGCCCTCTTTGAATTCAAGCACGTGAAGCTCAAGAACTTGGGAACTCACTGATTCTAATCTGCTTGGGTAGAACAAAGCCCATGCACCTTTCGGCTGCTTGTGTATTGAAGTTCTCTGAGGTCAGCGAAGTGGACACCTGATTCGAAGATCTGATATTGTACGTGATAAACAGTCCACGGAGGGATGTGATTGAATTGGGTTAAAGCAACAGATGGTAAAAAGCGATGTAAGCGACAGAAGTATGCACACATGCACATGAACAACGGGAAGGGAATTTCTAAAGCTGTAAGTCGGGGGGATAGACCTCCAACACATATATTCAAAGCACAGTCACAAGTACACATCTCATGTGCATCCAAGCAGAAAAAGAAAAAGAAAATCATCATGATATCAAACCCATGTGTAGGTGTTCTTCTCTTCTCCCCGTCTTTCCATAGAACCTGCGGCAATCTGTATCCATGCCCTTCCATAAAGAAGTGAGGCTGCGTAGACTCACATCTCGAAAGGCAGACAGACTCACGCAGAAAGGGTATCACTTTTTCCTCCCAAGAGCTGTCTCAGACACCTCAATAACTCCAGGCTATGACATCGCACGAATCTTACCGCCCATTCATGTAAACCTATGGCGGTTCACTGGGCCATATAAGAACTTTTCCGTCGTCAAAAAGGTTCATCATGCCTCCTCGTTCGCTCGGTCTTTTTTTTTTCTTTTTCCAAATGCATTTTGTCTTTCCTCGAACCCATTACACAGAAGCCAGCTCCCGGATGCCTCGCCAATGGATTAGGTCTACAGATGTAAATAAACCTCTGCTAGTTCAAAAACCACCAGATGCATGGAAATGAAGGTGCACGGCATGGCATCAAATCTTCGCGAATACGTGCATGAGATGATGCACTTCGAAAGGCGTGTGATCCGTTAGCACTCCCGTAGACTCAGTCAAGGTGGGCCATCATTTCCTCTTTCGACAGAGGCTTGAAGTCGTCGATAAATAATCCGCGAGCTTCAAGTGCAGGCCGTGTATGCGGTGGGACAAGCCGACTGTTCATTGAAGGTGCAATTGAGAGTTCTAATAGCCACCAGTCAGTATTCAGTTTGTGGATTCCATAATGCACTGGAAAAGATCCAAGTTACAACGCACCATGCCTGGAAAAGTCGAAAAGGTTAGGAAGGTCTCTGGTCGCTCCGTTGGGGTGCCGCGAATCGGGTAACCGGGTGTTCGGATCCCGGAGTTCATCAAAGAACGGGTGGCACATAGCTTCGATTGCAGAAAGACGCTGAGTTGGCGTGTATTCCAGCAATGCGGAGATAAGGTCGATAGCCTCATGCGGCGCTCTTCGGAAGACCTAGGGGCCCAAGTCAGGCTAAATCTTCCTAGGAAACTGCGGGTAACGGGACCGTACCTTATTGAAGGGGTGTGGCTTGATTTGAGGGAATTTGTGCTCCATATAGTTGGGGTTCATAGTACGGATTTGCTCGCGCGTGGGTGTACCGAGAACCTTGATAATCTCGACCAGCTGGTCGATCCCAGACTCTCCGGGAAAGAGAGGTTGCCCGAGCATCAGCTCCGCCATCACACAACCAGTAGACCATACGTCTATGATATGTCAGCGTGCCCACAATAAGAACCCAGGGTGCCGTGGAATATTACCGATTTTTGTTGTGTAATTCGTAGCGCCGAAAATCAACTCTGGGGCTCGGTAGTAGCGAGAGCATATGTATGATACGTTGGGCTCATTCTCGACCAAGATCTTGGCGGATCCGAAATCGCAAAGCTTCAGGATACCAGTCGCGGGGTCAAGAAGAAGGTTCTGAGGTTTGATATCCCGGTGACAAATGCCTTGTGAATGAATGTATGCCAGTGACCGGAAAAGCTGGTAGATGTAGAGCTTGACCTCCAACATCGGCATGGTCGTCTTCAACTTATTGAAATAACGAGACGCCCGGTAAACTGTTTCCGGTACGTATTCTAAGACGAGATTCAGGTACACTTCGTCCTTCTGCGGTGACATCGTAGAGTGGTCAGCCCTGGAATGTGAAAATGGCAATTGGTCAGGGGAGTATACCCTCTCGCCGTTCGAATAGTAGAAGGCCTTCAACTCGACAATGTTAGGATGGCGCACAATCCTCATGATCTGCAATTCACGATTCTGCCCAAGCGTCAGCGACAGATTACGGAGCTAGCGATTGTGGATAGCAGCAGTGTTCACGGGCACATACCTTGAAACGTTTGTCCTGGAGAACCCGCTTGATAGCAGCATCCTCGCCGCTGGGCATCATTTTTGTCTGAAAGACGACTCCGAACGACCCATTGCCGACAATCTTACATTGCGAATATTGTATCTCTTTCGTTTCCCCTGTTAGTCCATCTTGGACTTTCTCGCGGACGACTTCTGGACGAGAAACAAGAAAGCAGTCAGCAATCGGGATCCATGGCGAAACTGCGGCCGAACGACGTTGAGGTCCTTACCACCCATGCGCAAGTTGGAAAACACCCCAGACCGATTCTGTGACATCACGGACTCTCTTGGGAAGGGGACAACGTGGAGAAGGTCGGGGATGGAGTGCTATCGAGAATACGGAGGGCTGGACTTTAATTGCGGATGGCGGAACAGGGTGCGAAGGTAAGGCGTGAGGTCCGTTTTGGGCAGACTGTGGCCGGTGGTGTACGAATTGGGAGGGGTGCGCTGGATGGGCGGAACGTTGAACGGAGGAACGTGAGTGGAGGTCGGCGTGAGATCAAAGGTTAAGAGCACTGAACAAGCGAACCGCAGCTGGCTCAGACGGTCAGACCAAGGACCAACGGACTTGGGTAGA